TCACTGAATATCCGCAGAACACTTAAGAATTTAAAATTTTGAATAGTTGAAAACTTGAACATTTGAATTCAAGTTTCAAGTATTACATATGTATCAATACGATGAACGAACTAACAGCGCCAGAATTTCAATTGCTCAATGAATATGTAACTCGATGCTGGAATGTATTATCCATCTGCTCTTTTTGAATTAGACTGTTTGCTGGTGAAAATACCGTTTTCAAAAAAAATCAGTAAAAATCATTTGAGTGTGTTATTTGATTATTTTTCATATTATATCCTCAAGCTATCCATAGAACAGTTTTTATTCTTTACGTCAAATCTTGGTGTCATTTCAACAATCTCAAATATATGATAGGAGAGCCACCGATATCATTGAGTGTGGTAATGATTACAAGACAAACATGAGAAAGAAAGGAAGAGATATGTGTATCATTGAATATATTATTTTATATAATTTGAATGTGCGTTCAACAAGAAAAATAAACGAAAATACAAGAGAAATATAGAAAAGACAGAAGAACAAGGATCAGATCTATGTAGATACGAAAAAAATACACATGTATATTTATGTAGTACGAACTAAGATGATGAATATAAAGGACAATAATGATTAAAAACAGTGTACTCACGATGTGTCCATGTATTTAATTAGGTATACTAATGAAACATAAAAGACAAAAACCACATAAAAACGACAATGAAGAAAACGTGAAAGTAAAAGTTGTAGCACCGATAATATAATGAAACTAATGAGAGTAGTTCTGTTAGAGTTTTATTTATCTTGTACTAATTAGATTTGATTATTATCATCCGAGATAAATAGAAAATTATTATTTTTCATAAAAATTAAACTATTTGAATGTCGAAGCATGCCAGATCTTGTTAAACTTCCTTTAAAATTTGTAGAGAGACGAGTATCCTGATGATAGGATATGACGTGAAGATAGATTTACGTCAGTTTATAGAGTCTAAATGACAGAGTCACTTCGGTCCATCTGCTAGACAATTAGAAACCAGTCAAAAAACAAGTGCTATGACTAGCTCAAAGTATCACGTGTGTGTCATGGCTATTCCGTTTTCGAAGAATGTATCGACAATCCCAGTTCAGATTAGTTTATAAATTCCAAACAATTCGTTGTGTTTGAGCTAAAGTACTTTGACAACCTGTTTAAACTGAACAATAATGGAAAGAAAAAGAAGTATAATGTAATGCGAAGAATTGTTTAATATCTGCATCTTTTCTTAGAAAGAATTGATGAATAATCATATGCATTCAGAATATGAACTTGATGGCATAAGAAAAGAAGCATTTCTAAGTTTATCATTTAATAAGAACTTCATGAGTGATAGTTCAGTACGATTTTTTCTATCACGAATAAGAAAATGAATAAGAATTAATAAATTTATATCAACATAAATATAGGTTGTCAACAATGCTATTGTTTTCTTTTCTCATTAGAATAGCAATCAGAAAAGTCTTTTAGAATCAATAACAAAATCAGCGGTAGACATTAGTTTTCGTTTGTCTGTATGTTGATATATCTCGTGATATTTTGTATTTTTATGTTTTAAAAATGCAAAGATGTATCGAAGTATTAAAAAAGTATAATCAAGTGTGAAGTGCAATGTCGGCCTTTTATCGATAAGTGCCAATTTAAGTATTTTACAATACATTAAAATACATAAAGTAAATTAAGAATACGTTAATAAAAAAAAAATATTTTAATTTTTTTATACCATAATTTTGTTTGAGTTTATTAAAAATAGACTAATTAAATTTCAAACTAAATCAAATCATCATGTTGGAAAATTTACTTATTTTGAATTTGATAATTTCCAATTAATTTTGGCATTTCATCTTTGTTTCAATATAAATTGATTCTATACCTACTAATTCATAATGATCAGACAAAGATTAATCCAAGAAAACTAAAAAACTCTAAAGAGTGTGGTTAAACTAAAGATTTACATCCACATCCCACTCTGTATCACCTGGAGAGGTTTCCTCGTAAATATCAATAGTATATATTCGTGATGAGAAAAACATACCATTTGTAATACGCTGTGTGAAGTAACAAAAAAAAAACAGCCGACATACATATTTTAATACTGAGAAAATCATTTATTCAAGGTTCATCGTTTATTTTTATTTGAGTAGGAATTCAGATGGAATGTAAAAATTGATGATTTTCAAGACGGAAAAATAAATGTTATTCTTAGATTGTATAGTCATAATAAAATAAGATTGCTTTCTAATCGATCAAGGTTAAATTTATGTACTTCGAGCTTTCACTAACTGTAAATATACATATGTTAACATTTTCTTATTCATAAAAAGATTAGATTTAATTTTAAAAAACTAGACGGCTACTCGAACGAAGTTCGACTAGAGAAGATAGTTGACTGCACGAATTACGAATATCTTAGTACGTGATCTGATATGCTACAATGCTTAACTTCAAAATCTGTTATATTCTCATATGTATCCTTTTTATTAAGTTCGTTGTTATACAAAAAAAAAAATCAATAGAGATTAGGCATTCGAAAACTTGACATTGAAAACTTCTATCAAGTTTTTTTTTGTTTTTGGTGACTCATACTTTAAAGTTAAAGTAGTTAAAATCACATTCGACGATATTTTATCGAATACTTTTCTTTTGTCTATCTATTGATTATTATCTTCTCTGCGATTATTGATTGATATAAACTATGCCAAACATTTGTCTAGACATTTGAGAATTCGTTCTGGATAAATTTAAGTCACACAAAGGTGATAGTTAGAGTATAAATTCATTGATTATCTAAGATATATCATTGAAAATGGCAACTACATCGCATGATTCAAAGAACAATATTTTGTTCTCTATATTGAAAGGTGCCACATCGCAATGTTAATTGCTCGATGAAGAAAATAACGTGAGTTAGAAAGAAAAAATAATTTTCAAGGTTACAATTATGTGTGTCACCATATGTTTTTTCTTTAACAATCATTCGTAACAATTCTTGTTAAGGTAAGCGAGTGTTTGTGCTGTATATTCGCTTTTCTATTTCTCCTTATCTTTTTTTAAATATCAGTGAAACTGGCAAGCATTATTTTCTGTTTTTGTTATTTTAACATATAGTATCTATTGTTACAAAGGCATGCCTTGTAATATATTCTATTGCAAGTTGAATGATGAAAATGGCAGAGCTGTAAAGAATAACATTACCATTTTATATTTTGTGAAAGATGATATCATTTATTAATATAATCTTATTGATTCTTCTTACATTTCCGATTCGTATTGATATAGTGCAAGATATATTCGTACTATACACGAAGATAAATTTTGTATAAATTGTAACACAAGTAGTGAGTTTATGATATTTATTTACTGAATCATTCATTGAATAGTATAAACGCAGTACTTTCATTAGAGACAATTACCATCATACTCAGTTGTCAAGCTTCATCTTATTTTTTGTTGAAAAAATTGGATGATTTATACATAGAATGCACGTTTTTTCTACGATTGAATCTGTATGAAGTACTTCTGAGATCTCTCGTTCGCCTTTGCACTATCCTTATCCGAAATTTAATTTCTTTTCGATTTTGGAATTAAAATAACTACAGAATGAATAGTCCGTTTTGTATTTTGAGAACTTTAACCTGAATGCAAGTAGAAATTCAAATTCGTGGCTTACTCAAAAATATGATCGATATTTATTGCAAAAAAAAAGTCAATGATACAATTGTTAAACATATACTAGTAACTGTAGCAGATTCATTGTTTTAGATAGTTTTTTTTAATTATATGAAATATATTCAATATTCTACTGTCACCTCAAAATATTTTTTTTTGTTACTTTCTAAGGAGTATTTTCATCATTTTTGACTTAAATTTTTGAGTATTCCGTACAATATTTATTTCACCGTTATAAAACGCCATCTCTGATTATACTAATTGTCTCTCTTGTTATTTGTTCGTCCTTTTTACTACTCATAAATATATATATATACGACAGTTTTTCTTTTTTTTTCATGTTTCTATCAATAGTTTTGCCAAGCAGAGGCAAAATGCTCAGAACATCTGCTGTTCTCGACATTCATGCTGTTTCACATTGTTCTCAAAAAAGCAGCATGTATGCAACACACCTTATTGAATAATATAACAGATGAATTTTCAAATGAACAAAAAAAAAGTAAATGTAACTTATTCTACTGCTTAGAATATTTAATTTTTTTTTCTTCTATTCCCTCTTTTATCTTTGGTCATATAAAAAAAAAAAAAAAAAAACTAAAATGTTTTTTTTCGCTTATCATCTGTCTTATTATCAAAAGGTATTTCTTGTTCACTTTGCCTCTGTACTAGTTACATTTGCTTTATTCTTGACCAAATAAGTACTAAAGCTCGTTAAAGATATTTTAATAACCAAATTATAATAGAAATAATAAATCTAATGGAGTTTCCACGACATGCGTATCAATCTTAGTTAAATATTTTCTAGAAGTATCAGTTTCATCAAGCTTAATCTCTCACACTTTGAAGAGATGAAGTAAAAAATGATTGATGTGCTATATTTTAACGAATCGAATCTTTTTTTCTTTCACATTACCGATAATAGAGAAATGTGTAAGTTGCCCTTGAAAAGGTACTGATTCATTGTGTTTTCTTGATTATGTTATACCATCCAATAAAATCAACATTTATGGCAGTGTTGCTTATTAATAATGTCACTTAAAAGTAATTATATGTTATAGTCTTTTTCGATATTTCTTCTATAAATATTATATATGCAATGAGTAATTTATGTGACAGGCATTTAAATAACCTTTTCCTTTCTTTTTTCTTTTTTTTCGTATCTTGCTTTTTATCGGTGGTGACAACAGAGTATGCATACTATTTTTCTCGTCGAGATAGAGAAAAAATATATATTGTAGAGCAGAAAAAAAACAATCATTTTATTTTTTTCAGTAGATTTATTAGGTGATCATTTTTGAATTAGAATTTTATTAATATGTCGTGGGTAGTTGAACAAAGTGAAAATACATCTGCTGTTCATGTTAATGGTGATACTATTACATGTACACAAGATGAATATTATGGTAGTCCAATAAATGTTATGTACAAAGATCCAGCTAATCAAAATGGACAATACTTTTGGCAAGTGGAATTTCAACAGGTGCAAGAAAATGGAGGTATGTCTGTTGGTTTGACAACAGACGATGGTTTTAAAAGTGGATGGGGACTCAAAGCTATGAAATATTTAGGTAATTTATCTGATGGTGGTGCACTCTTGGTATCAGCATTTGGTGATCAAATAAAACAAAATGATAAAGTTGGCATATTATTGCAATTAACTAATGCAGATTTAAAAATGTATATCTTTCATAATGAACGACCATTAGGTTTAGCATTTCATATTCCATCACCATATCCAAAACCATTGTATCCTGGTAAGTTTCTATAAACTTTATAATAGAGTATATTTATTTGATTTTTGTTTTCAGTTGTGAGCTTCAATTCAAATGGTAAAGCTAAGATCAGTCGTGCACAGCAAATACCTACATCATTAGAACGTTCATCATTACAGTTTACTGGTGCTGATGGTAATTGGAAAATTATTGATTATCCACCGCATCCCGAATGTGTTGGTTGTAAATTTGAAATAAAAAGTGAAAATCCAAATATGTATCGTCTTCATGCACATGTAGTTAATTCAATGAATTGTTGTTTGGAATATGATCCAGAAAATAATCAATGGAAATCTTCTCCACTTATGACAACATTGATGATGGGTCCACCAGAAGCTATGGAAAAAGAACAGTTAGTTAGCAATTTAATATCCAATATTAAAGGTTTGGAGGTTCAAGATCAACAACACTTAGTCATCCGAACAAATAATGGTAAAGAAGCTCGATTAGAACGTTATACAGTTCCACCACCAGGACCAGTTACACAAAACATATTTAATTAATTAAGTGCAAAGGTCAACAAATAATTGATTTATCATATAGAATATATGCTTATAGAAGGCGCATTTTTTTTTCACGCTTATTTAGTAAATTCATTTCACTTTAATTAACATTTATATCAATTCAGCGAACAATAAAATAGAGTTCTAGGAAGAATGATAAAAACTATATGTATTGTATCTTATTTTATGAATGTTTTTATAATTTTCGAGAGCAAGTATAATATTCAATGTCGAAATGTTTTCTAATATATAAAAGTAAATCTATTTCATCTTAATAACATACAAAGTTATTTATTCTAGATAATATTACTTTTATATGAATATGTAAATTCTTCGAGCAATATTTAAGAAGAACACGCCGAAGTTAAATTTGTGATATATTCTATATTTTTTTTTTCTTTCAATAAATGAATGTTATTCTTTTATAATTGATAGTTAATATTATTTTTGAAAATTAAAAATAAAACTTTTGAAGTACTTAAATATTTTTCAAAGTATTATTTTCCATATTTAATAGCAATAAAAGTCTTAAAGGCATTTCTATTATGGAATATAATATTTGAGTCTATGACAATTGATCATAGGAACAACTAGGTGTTATGACGATTCGTCGCGCGACTAAAGAATAAAATTGGTTAGAAAAAATTTTCTTAACATGTTGAAGAAATAATTCAGAGAAGACCAGAAAATTATTAACAATCTATACAAGGATAAAAAATATTAGATTTGAGTTTAAATACGAATGTTAAGTGATCTCTGCTAGTTGACCATAAAGCTTAGTAATTGTTTTAAGAAACTTTCAATAATATTCTATAATTTTTCTTTTCTTGAAACTTCTGACTGCTGCAGGTTTCACTATTCGACAATGAATATAGTTGTTGTTTTTACGGAACATTTCAGTAAAATTCAAAATGTGAATGTCAACATATGAGTACCTTTTACCAACAAAATCATCATTGAATCGATTTCATGAGATAAATCATGATTTTTCATATACTATCCACATCATCGTGCAATACTGCATGTGATTGAATCCACACGTCTGAAAATTGAAGTTTGTCGGAAGTACAATAGGAAACATACTTCTGTCAAACTTGTGACTAATTATCATAGCATCCATTTGTCGCTTTCCTATAATATTTATATCTAAAAATTGGCTTTTTCAATGAGATTATTCTTTGTCCATTGAATTGAAATTATTTCAGTTTTACTAAATAGTTTAATATATTGATAACTAAATCTTCACATTAAATCTATTCCATTTAGAATTGAATTAAAAGACAAGATTGTGATTCATTTCACCATTAATTATCCATAAATAATTTATAACTGTGCTGAAATATTTATCTACTATAACAAAAAATATAATTATATGATAATACTAAAGACGAAGAATAAAACTTAATATTTTAAATAGGTTTTAATTTAGTAGAAAAGTTTTAAAAAATACAAAATTATATTCATTCGTTTTCTTTTTCTATAATCTCACCATTAAAAAACATTCACAGATATTTTTCCAATTTGAAGATTCCTAAAATGTCGCAAGCAATTAGAAAATGTTATTTTCATCTGCTATAAATGATAATACAATCAAATATATTATACAAATTTATCATCGAATTCTCATCAGTGTAATGGATAAAAATACAACTGATTTAGATGAAGATTATTTTAAAAGCTGGATTGTCAAGAACTGGCCAGACTAAAATATACAACTCATTTATTTGTGTTCACAAGAGAACATCTACGTATTATTTTATAGTTATGATGTTATGATAGATTTTTTATGGTGTGATGGCGAAAAGTTCACAGTGACGTTTGATAATCTAATCAAGGGAAACAAGAAGTTTTGTATCTTGTTACAATAAATAATAGAATTTTAGAAATATTCTTTACAAAAAAAGTCTATTGCAGCAAGCATTATATATTCAATCAGCACATTCTCAAGATACTGTAACTGTAAGGAGATGAAAGCTTGTAATATCTTTTTCTACTTTTTTCTTACTTCTTGTTCTTCATAGTTGTGTGTTATCGTATCAGACTTTCTTGCTTTTACTTTTTCTTTGTCTAATTGATAAATGCGGCTCTGCAACCAGTTGTTTCTATCTTTTATTGTAATGTTCAGTTCATTCGTCGTTCCGACTACAGGAAGACACTGTTCTGGTGACCTTTAAGACATAGTAAAACATGTAAGTAACACATCTTAAAGTATTCTATTAAATACTTACTAAAAATAATGGTTAGATGCGACTATTTTAATAAAAGTTTCACAAATAAAATATTTTTTTGTTTTGCAAGATATACTAACATTATTGAATCATTCTCTACAATCTACCGATATTTACGATAATTTGAAAATTATCTATTATTTTCAAAATCTCGAATGTCTTGACTTTGATATTTACTAAAAAATTTAAACAACTGAGACTAATATATGTATAGATTTTCTCCAGACACCTTGAATAGTTTAATATTCAGAATATGAATACAAGAAACAAATGTTAGTCAATATAATCTTCAAAATGCAAAAGTGAAAACTATACAATCAGCAGTAATTAATCATTTAAACAAGTATTGATTAATAAGTTCGACTAGAATATTCAGTAAAATCAGTAAGCTTACTAATTAGTTACTGAATAAATGTGTCATGAACTAAACGAAAATCGACAGAAATAGTAAGTTCGTCTAGAAGATTAAATCGAAAATGTATTTATGTCTATATAACGTTTACTAAATAATCCATTGATAATTAATTTTATCGTCAGAAATAAAATACGATTGAAGTTTGAATTACACAATGACTTCTAACGGTTTATTACCAGCGTTTTCTTCATATGTCATCATAAGAATTCTCCCCTTTATCTGTATAATCATAGGTGTGCACGTATGCTCGTCTTGTTTTTATTATGTTTAGCCTTCCATGCTCATAGTTATGTATAATGCATTTTTCCTAACTTATGTTCTTCTTTTTTTCATGTTTTTCTATGATTTTTTTTTATATTATCAATTCATCCTATATCTTTTCGTTCTATAGATAGTGAGGAAATCAGGGTGAAAGCAACATTTTCACATCTTCTCACAATTGCAGTAATGTTGAATCTCATCATTAGGTTTTGTTGCGACATGAAAGTATGCTCCATAATTTCTACTCCTTCTGCTTTCTTGTTTACATTTATGTACAGTCTCATCTAAACTTTTCGCTTTCTTTCGTAGTGAAGATCAGTTCGTTTCTCCTTCTAAAAGATGAGAGAAAAAATATCATAACATCCGAAAAAGTTTACGATTTCATCTTCGAATGCATCACGGGCTAGCACAATCGGAATCCACGATCACTGACGAAATAGTATTTTTATCGAGGCAAACTTCATGCTATAATGTATGAGATATCCCACTTAATAGAGAAAAAGCATAATTATGTCTTTTGAAAACAAAGGATGCTGAGTGTCATGAAAAATTTAATTTGAATTGTATGACATGTCTTAGCTCGAAGGAACCAAAGTAATCTCATTTTCTCTTCTAGTGAATTCACACAAGGAAAAAAAAACGGATTATGCAAGTATCATGAAATATACTTTCTATTTATCTGTCAATCTCGTCACTTATAGTAGGTATCATTTAGTATATGCTGTTGGAGTTACCCTATCGACTTAATCAAAAGCTAAGTGCTATCTTTCTTCAAATTGATTACTCGACAGTTAAGCGATCTCAAACTTGGCTATCCATGAATAAAAAAGATAATTACGAGGTCTGTATCATATCGCAATTACACAGTTCAGCTACTGTGCATCGTTACTTTCTTTGCCTCCTAATTTCTAACATCATATTCGTCAAGCATATTCCAAAGATATATGATCATCTAACGAAGAAAAAATTTGTCTCATCTTGAATTTTTTTTAAAGGCTTCTTCACTCTAGGTTTACATTCGTTGATTCAGTGTACGCAGTTTTTTCTCAGTTATTTCATATATGTTGTAATCTCATAAGAGAATCTTTAGAGCTATAACTAGGTTGAAGGTGGAGTTTGATGAGATACAAGTGTGTTCCTGAGGCTGTGGCAAAGCGTTTTGATTGTAAGATATGTGCAGATTACCGGAAAGGAAATTGGTGGCATATGAAAAGATAATTTCTAATAAAGTTCGTTAATTAATAGTGCTTAAGAAGACTATAGTCAAGAAAATTCTCAAAATTTCAATGATATGCATTATATCGAAAAATAATATTTAGAGACATTTACTGATTGCCGATTTATAAGAAAGAGATTCTAAATTTAGATAGATATTACTAGAGCTATCGAAAATTTTTGTAATTTTGAAGGTATTCTTCTATGAATTACTTATTTCGAAAGTTTTTCATAAATGAACTGCTTCTGTGGTAGTAATTTGTGACATTTGCTTTCTCGAAAATCTGAACATAGCTGCTGATTCGATAATTTATCACTCGAGTATCAAATGCGACTGTTGTATTATATCGTCAGAAACTGACGTTGGCTGGTGTTATCTTTCAATACTGTCGTTTTGGTGAAATAAAGAAAACCGAACTACTGACAATCAGTTGCTCGATGGTAAAGTGATAGTTCTCCTTGAAATCAAGAAAATATCCACTTCTTGAAGTTATTTTGAGAGAAAACTGCGATTTTGATCATTGGAAATAATATTTTTTCCTATGTCAATCTTCAATGATCAAGCATAAATGAAATGAATTTCGTATCTAAACATTCATTTTCGAATCGGAAGTGACGTTTCAGATGGATGATGAAGAGTATTGATGAATATCATAAGCAAGATAAAATCTTCCTTTAAAATTGTTGTCTGTTTATTAAAACTTTGACACTAAGTTTATCTAATAAAAGAATTCACGATTCATGAAATAGGAAAAACAAAGTTTAGTTAAATACATGGATAAAATATGTGCGAAAGTGTTAAAAGAGGACAAAGTCTGAAGGACGAGTAGGAGAATTCAATCACACAGTTGGTTGTTTCACAGCAGCAGTTTCTTGACGTTTTCGTTTTTTTGAAGGAACTGCTTCTTTTTTAGTCATCCACATGAGTACAAAATGCATAAAAGCACTGATAAGAAAACTGATACCACTAATGACGAATGGTATGTTAAAACTTGATGTGAGATCTCGAATAGCACCCATCACCTGAGCAAATAAATCGATTAACAAATTGTACTGAAGATCGAAGAGAAAAACAAGACTTACTGGTGGAGCAATCAATGAAGAAATACCTCTAAACAAAAATACCAAACCCAAAGCACTACTGTACTTTTCAAGGCCGACAAGTTCACAAATGATGACTGGAGATAAAGATATGTGAAACGCTAAATATAAAAAACATTTCTTAGTGTTAAATGATTGATCGATATTCAATTTGTATTAATATTTTAAAGAAAGTATTAGTTCTAATTCTATTTTCTTATCTCGATTCTTGCTTGTCTAAAGTAACATGTGAAATGATTATAAACTTTGAAGAATGCTTCGATCACGTTATCAACAATAACGCTATTTAAATTAATTAAAGGTTGACGTTAACTGTAACACCTCTTTTTACTAGAAGAGTGGGTATAGGTGTGGGTTATATCTTGTTAATTGTCGAACATCAACGACTTCACTGGCGTGACATGTTGTATATTGAATCTCTGAGAAGTATAATATTTTCACTTATGAAATATAAAATGAGTATTTTCATTTGGGTTTTGTCTGTAAAGACGATCTGTTTGTGCCACGCACTGTTTATAGATTTCTACAGTATCAGTTACTGTCACTATATAATTAATGAGAAAAACTTCGACTTATTTTTCTAATTGTAGACAAAATGTTATCATGTATTGATTTTTATTCAGCGACAATAGAAGCTAGAATAGAAGTTGCAATTGATTTTCAATATTTCATTTAATAATCAAACGAAATTCTAAGTTAAGATGATTATTCACGTTCAAGAATAATTTAATAAAATCTAAGGAAAAAAAGAACAACAATTATATAGAAACTCATTCTGAAAGATGCTACTCATATTAAATCAATTCTTCATAGTAATAAATCAGATAAGGATAGACGTTCGTCTTATTACAATAAACGAGACGGTCTTCCATCGATCAAAGTCATATCGTGTTCGTTGTAATGTTTCTATATCAAAAAAACTTGCAGCAAAATCCTTATAGATTGAAGATATGAATCACGTATTAAAATCCAAACACTACTACGTCAACGTGTCTGTCACGGTCTACGACGAAATCAAAAGAATAAGCCCATTATCTGTCAAATTCTATGGAATAGACTAAATGTTCACTTTTCACACTATATACTTAAACACTGATTAATAATCATGTTTCATAGAAATTACTCCGTAAAATTTCAAATCTACCTCCGCAATAATATCCAATAAAGTCTTCTAGTCAGATTATATCTGACACATTTTTAGAAATATTATACTTTTGTTGAATATGATCTACGTATAGGAAGTTATTAGGAAATATAGTGATCCATACTTGGATGTCAAAGCCTTCCGCAAGTTGCGATAGCTGTTGTATTCAGCAATATGTGTCTAAATAGTTTCAGGCAAGGCAAAAGGGTTTATACACCACTGTTCATCATTAGATGAATAGTATACATCCAAGAAAATATACTTTTTGAGTGAATCATCGTGAAATTGATTATAGTTAAACAGATTTTATCTATATAGTGCCATTGCATATTTTTCCGTACCTATCCTCTATATCAAATGTTTGATTTTGCAGTTTCGACGAAAAATCCAAAGATACCGAAACAAAAACAACAAAGACACGAAGAATGAATTTCTTACATAGCATAGCAAAATCAGAATGATTCTCAATCTTGAACTAGATCCTATAAAAAGTGTCTCTAATAAAGTTTGGTGAACACGTTGACTACAGATTGAGGTCAAGTATAAGCATAGAACAACATATCCTACCTAATTCTGTTCTCTGTCTTGCACCACAACTCTAGACAATTCATTACAGAACATTATTCAGAATAGACGATGATATTATTCTTATTATTTTCTATCCTAATAAGTAAATATCGACGCAGATCGGTATCAAATTCTAACAATTGGTGTCAATCTTGGAAAAATCCAGCGATATGGCACTAGTTTTAGAGAAAAAAACTCAAAAAATGATACTATGACCACTACTCGTCTTTTTAACATTAATGATGAATATTCAAAAATTGGGCTATTCTGATCAATAGTCAATGAAAGCTGACAAAACATCAATCTTGTTTCACAATGGAAAATTCAACGTTCTATTCTGTAGGAGTGATTCGAAATAAGCACTTATGACACGTTAGTCGGAAAGAAATGGCGTACCAACAAAACTAAATGAACTGACAGAACTCACCAATGGCACCACCCCAAACAATACAATAAGCAATAAGATGTCCATGGCTACTGCAAAGTGGAACTAAAAATGTCGCTACACCAGCAATACTTAAACCAATGTTGTTGGCAAGTAATGGAGTCATGAACGGAATTTTCGTTATCCAACCCGAAGAAAATCGAGCAATAGTGTTGCTGAAGCCTGTGAAGTAGTGAATATTGAGTAAGCCAAGAGTATTCGATGAATAGAATGAGATAAAAAAATACGAAGAACGTACTCACCAATAATCGAAAGGAGATACACAGCACTTTTTTCATCAATATTTCGTTCATTGATGGCCATTTTAACAATGAACAAATACGGAATATAGAAGCCAACCATTGAACAAACATTTGCCTAGAGAAAAGGAAGTAAAAGAAAAGACATTTAGACATTGAAAGTTATCATTTGATTTTGATTATTACTCACCAATGAAATAAGACGCATTTTATTATCATTTAGAACCTGTATATTGGTCATCTTTAGAAATGTATCCCAAAATGCTTTCATTCGTTGTGGTTTTTCTGTCTCCGGTACTTTTGTTGTCTCTTGTATATACGTAGGCAAATCCGGTTGTGCTTTATATTCCGGTAGTGCTTGTACATTTCCTGGATAGAGTATATCCTCTTGATACATACTATTAACATGAACAGGCATACAAGACAAAGTTTAAAAAAAAAGAGAAGTGAGCGAGATCAAATCAAATTCTACGAAAAACAATTCGACAATGATAAACCATGATTTAGTAGTCTACTACGAGAAAAATAGATAGCCAACACAAGACAGTTAAACATCAAATCATGAGATTCACAGTATTTAATACTTTACATGAATCTTTATCACTTTGAAAAGTGTTGATCAAAACTAATATGAACTAATTTACCTAATAAATCGTTGAAGACAAGGAAGAAAAATTTTGGTAGATTTATTTTTGAGCATTTGTATAATAAAGCAGAATCTCAAGTCAAAATGAACATTTTATCATCTCGAAATGGGTTTCTTAAGTTCATTCTAACCAATCGTTAGACTGTGTACATCTTGCATCCAATGAATGATCAACGTAAGTAGCAATATTTTACTACAGATACTATGATAGAGATAATTGAGATATATAAACATCTTATATTGAATTTTAGAAACTCAAAAGTAAGAGAAACGTGCTATAAGGTTCATGACCAGTAATAAGCATGTATTAAATCCAGTTTACTATCTTGTAAAAATCAGAATACAAAAAACTTACAGAAAAAACCCTTCATAATTCTATAAATTTTAATCTCAATCTGATGCAATTAACTTACTTCATATCTTTTATGCTTTGTACAATAAGAAGAACATTTAGATCAATTTTATTTTTGGTATCTGTGTTTAGGCTTCATATAAGCCTCAAATAAGTGTTTTTGTTTCAAATTCATTGATATTTTGATTCCATTATTTTGTAATGTTTTTTTTCCTCGAGAAAACCGGTGTTTGATTATATTCGAGCTGAGACAACTTAAAGAAAAAAACACAAGACTTACGGACGGATTGCATCTTCAGCTTTGATGCTTTTTCTTGATTTGGTTGAACCAACTGAACTAGCTCGAGGTCGCTTGTCTATCGAAGATAAACAGATGTCCAAATGTTCATGGGAATGATGTGTAGGAGATGATACAGCGTTATCATTGGCCTCTTTATTATCACTGAGCAAAGGAGCTGTAACCTATAAAAAATAAATAAAATGAAAACGATTTCAAATGAGAATCAGAATATTGGTAAAGTCTATGGTTGTAAGTGACACAAGTACATTAAACGTTGATTTTCATTTTTAACCTAACACAAGAACTCATGATCATCATAAAAACAATATCTGCATATAAACCAATCGTACATACGATGAATTGTGAAACTAATTTCTATCCTGTTACATAACTAAAATTCGAGCTCATATGATGATACTTGGTCAACCATTAACTTAGGATGATGTTATCTATTATATCAATAAGAGAATCTCTAACAATTGTACACCAAGTAATAAAGAATTGTTAATTAACTAAGAAAAGAACGTCTCGAATTTTTAAATTAATTTTTAACCGATACTTTGTTTGTACGTAATTAGTGATAGGAAGAAATGAAAAAAGTAGTTGTTGGTAGCTTTATTTTTTAGGTGTTGACTTTTCCTATGGAAAACCATGATCTTCCTCTGATTGTTTGTAAAATTGTATTTCAAATTGAAACTTTTCGAAACAACTATTTCTTATAAGACTATGTCATCGTAAAATTCTGATTCACTTTGGCATCTCCTATTTTGATGGATCAATATTGAACCTGACTATGTAAAATTAATACATCAAATTCATGTTTATATATTTCTGAGAAATTTCTATTCTGATGAACGTTCTTCCAAGATAGTATAGGCAAATAAAAATGCCGATCATTCAATGGTTAACCCATATTGTTATAAAAAACTGAATGTCAGAAATAAATATTGAACAAAAAAGTTTCATTTAGATTTTCAACTTGAAAAGTTATCAAACTCACCGTTGGATTAGCTGTATTAGCTTCAGTCCTGCAATAATTATAATGATAATAATAATATGTAAATTATGTAAAGAAAATACATTAAGGCTTACGATAACTCGATATCAGGCAAAACACGTCGCTTGCGAACTGGTTTTAGAGGTTTCATGAATCCACAACAAACAACACAGCCCAAGAGAATGACAGAAAGGATGAGAAGACCTTTTTTCCAGCCGAATTGGTCAAATAAAAAACGTGATAGAGGTCCAAATGTGATTGAACCGATACCAGTACCAGCGGTGACAATGCCTATGTGATAAACAATAATCAACGATATCATCCGAAAAAATCAATAGAAGTCGTTTACCAGTGGCGATTGCACGTTTTTTATCGAAATAATATCCAACCATGACAATACTTGGCAAATAAACGAGGCCCATACCAATTCCGCCAATGAAACCAAATAATAACCACATGAGCTGAATATTCGGTACAAAAACTGAAGCTGCAACAGCTACCGCTGCGATTATGCCACCAATAATACCAATCGGTCGACAACCCCATTTATTGCATAGAGCCGAAGCGAGTGGTGCTATGATGATAGAAAAATCAATTGAAAAATGAGGCAGATTGATGAATTACCGCTGAGTAAGTAGCAACTACAGGCAATCGAAATGACAAGAGAAACAGCCCATTCTTTACATTTGTGATGTTTTTTAAGGTCATCAGAAATTGCTCCAAAAGCATACAGGAACCCATCAATAATCATATTGATTAACTGCACAATACAAAACAATAAAGTAACAATTCATAAAAAATATAAATGTTTGATACACTTACAAAGCAGGCAATAAGAACGACCCAACCGTAGCCACCATCAGGCGGGATTTTTATATAATCATATTCTTCATCATCTTCATGTTCATTTACTTTCTCTACTGGTTTCTTTTCTTTCTCTGCCACTGATGTTGTCTTCGATTTTGATTTATCTTTTTTAGTCATTTAAGTTCTATATTATTTATCAAGATAACTAACAAAACGATTGTCAATGATCGATAGGATTAGATAATGATCAATTGTTGATGGAAGTAAACAGTTAAATTTACTTCTGAAGCAATATCAATAGATAAAATTTAGAATTTCTTACTGACACAATGTCAAGTTTCGACACGTTTCTATGTATGAGTGAATTACAACTTTTTTTTAATGCTTAGCGAATGAGTTGACTAATTCGGGGTAGAATATAAATGAACCATCAACTGCATAAATTATAATTCATCAAGTGTCGCCCTTTAGCAGCGGCAGAAAAGCAAAAACAAAATTTATTTCAATTACAATTTATAATTCACATACAAATGTCCTATAACTACGGCAAAAATGTAAAACATAAATCATATTTGAGTTGTAATTTTAACATACATAATGATTTAGCATAATAGTTGATATGTCATTTTAAAATTTGTTCAACAAGTCAACAGTGTGACCTTGAATATTCACTTGTATAGAAGCGTTTTTCCTTTCGCAACTGATCTTTTATATTAGTAATCCCAGTTTGAGTACGCATAGTATCTCTATATACACAGTGATCGTAATAAACAATCCTAACTGAGGCGAGCTAGTCACTAGATATTATCATCATACTTCTGCTTCAAAGTTCTTACTCTCGTACGTAGTTTTCTGTCCAGAAACAGCATTTTTCCCGTGTCTTTTCGTCAAGAATTCACAGAATTGGATGCTGGAATCATTGATATCATTATTGAAGTCATTAAGAGAATATCCTTTTAAAATATGTATGTTTGATAATGGACAACAATTTGCATAATAGAAATGACGTTTCGATATTTTACATATTATTGTTCAGATAAAAGTTGAAATTACAAATTAGACACAATATTCAAGAATGTATACAAAGAAAATAAAAGGAAGAACTATTAGTTTTCTTTCTTTGCAGTACAAAGACAGATAAACACCACTAACATATGCTTTAACAGTTGAATATTTGCAAATTTAACTGCCAGAAAAAAAAAGAGAAACTATTGGTTTTCCTTCTTTTGAATGGAAAATCAGATAAACACCATTAACATATGTTTTGATTGCCAAATAGGTGCATATTTAACAGTTAAAACATCTGTTAGTGGTATTTATTTCTCTGTTCACTGGAAAGAAAAATAACTAATAGTTTCTGCTTTTTTTCTTGGTATGTATTCTTGAGTTTTCTTTCTAAATTGTAATTTCAACTTTTAGCATGATAATGGCACGTGAAATACCGAATCACCTACACTAATTATATTGAATAAAAAAAATAAAGCTGCTGTAAACAGCCTTTTACTTATAAAAAGAATATCCTTTAAAATAAGTGATCTAGTACTTTGGAAGTATAATAAACATTCTTCGAGTTGATGTCAGTCTAGATTGACGGTTTGCTAGAAGTGGACACATATAAACGGTGCTGGAAAAATCTATCAATTTCTTCCTATGTTGTCAATTCCATTTAAAACTTGAGCAGAGAAAAAATAAGGCTATATGAATGAATTATCATTATCAATGATTGACAAAGCAAATATGTCTTTTATGAGTTTCGTTATATCAAACAAGAAGGCACATGTTCAAACAAATACTATAGTCTGTTTGAAAAAAAAATAATGGTCGCGGCCATTTTTGCAATAACTCAAGAAAGAAAAGAACTAAACAGCTACGGTTTTCATCAATCGAAAGAGACGACACTAGGGCATCTTTTTCTTCAATATTGTATCAGACGAAATCATTTTAAAATCAAACGTTTTGACAAAACATTAAAAAAAACGCACAAAAATGAGCCATCGTTCATATGAAATTTTGACAAAAAGTAAGAAAATTTACTTAAAAATGAAGAGAAATTCATACTTTTCGAGGGAGTAAATAAAGAATTTGATTTGCTTAACATTATAATGCGTGAATATCATCATTCAAATTATATCTTAAACTATAGATGTAAGGTCTCTCTATCCAAATCACATATCGAAACCAAAATTTCATCGGAACGACCGACTGCTTTCATGGATTTTTGTAATGTTTTGTAGAAATTATTGGTTTTAAAATGATTTTGTCTTATACAATATTGGAAAAAAAAGATGCTCTAGTGTTGTCTCTTTCGGCTGGTAAAAATCGCAGCTCTCTAGTTCTTTTCTTTCTTGAATTATTGCAAAAATGCTCATGATCATTATTTTTTTTTAACAGACAATACATTATAATTTAATTGAATCAAAAAATAGGTAAAAATATTGTGTCAAGAACAATTATAAATCTCATTCAGCTGATCTATTAAAAGCAATTGATACTCGAACAGAATGAGAAAAAAACTTTTTTTTAACTCTCGATCATTCGTTGCATTTATCATGGACTGTTTAAGGTCTATTTGAGATGACTATATTCTTAAAAAAAATATCAAAAACTTATCTAGGTTGGACTTTTCCGTTTGGTATGAGCACATTGACAAAATTTCGTAAACATGAACTGATAGAAAACGTTCCTATTTTATAATTTAGAGTATATAAAGAAATTAGATTGCCTACTTACAATTTTTAGGTGAAGTTTGAAACAAATTCTTATAGCATTTCAGCAGAATTTATTCTAACAGAATTTCCGGAGGTCAACATTATAGTGCCGCTTTGGAGACGACCACAATACTATGACCGTGTCTCGATCAAAAATGAACTTGAAAAAGTGACAATTTGAAAAGGATATAAATTTGTTTCATCGATTTTATATCTCTATTATTTATGTAAGACGATCTTAAGTGGCTTTAAAGTATGCGGTAAGGTACAACCAATATATGGAAGAAACTATTTTTAGTGAACGAATAATAAACATCATGAAACTTTTTGCAGCTATCTTCAAGTATTTTCTTCTTGAGGCAACGATTCATTTGCTTTCTTCCGAAATTTTGTCGTAGTTCAAGTCTATACTTGGCTAAGAAATATGATTTTAAGTTACCTAAAGTCTCATTATGCTAATAACTGGTCCGAAACTCCCTTGAGTAGAGTAGCAGTTATCTGATAATAAATAATAACGTATTGCGAAAACAAAAGCTTTATACATGCTTGCAGGCAGTGCAAAACATTAAAGAAACCCTCACCTATACTTCGATTGTCGGCAACGTCTTGTGTGCTTTACAACACGATTTACTTTAACGAAAATCATTCGTTCTTTCATCTTCATTTCAATAACTTGCACAATTCTTCTTCTCCTTAAAATATGTCTTCCACCTTGACGAAGCACATACCATGGTAACTCAACATTTTTTTTCTTTTTTTTTTTGTTTAATCCAGCAAAAGAGCTTTCAAACTTTTTTGTAGTCAACATTAATGTGAAGACTGTTATTTGATACACTATGTTGACATTCTTCTGCCACCACGAATCAAAACACATTTGCTTAACTCGTGTTTATTTGTTCATTATCGTAAAAATGGAATGAAATTGATCATCAAACTTGATGTATAGAAAAGATCAATTTTCCAATTTGATAGAATGAAAATCATATAATCTGATAAAAAAAATAATTGTAGTTAATATCTCTAAAAAAATATTGTCTGTTTTCGTCTAGAATAATTCATGTAAAGTTGAATTCTTATTTTGATTCGCTGATCTTTTTTTAAATAATATTTCTTTTTGTTGATGAAGTATGTTGCATAAGAAAAGTTCTCAAGTAATTTCTCAGTTTTTCAACGAAGCATGCATAATTGTATGAATTTTATTGCATTTCATCTAAATATTATCGTCTAATGAAGAAACATATTTGTGTCTACTCTCTGAGAATGATTTCAAAAGTACTTTATCTGTTAGAGATCTCGATGAATATTTCGCATACGAATGTCTTAGCTTCTCTAGTGTCTATCTCGAAAAACAAGGGTATCTAACTATTCCATGTTTAGGCTTTTTTATTAGTAGATGTATCATGCCACTATTCACTTTTGTCGAAGTTGCAAGAACAAGTAGTTTTATTTGAAGAAAGCGACTTGATATGAGGATAAATCAATATGCAGGAGTCGTCTCATTATCACAATTGAAAATATCACATCTATATTTCGCAACTACTAAGTTTATATATGATCAATCACCTATCATTTTCGATAACATAAAGGCGCCGTCGATAGAGAGTTAAGTTGGCAAAATAGATATGATATATTCACTTGTGATGACGAGACGATTCTTGTATATCGATTTGTTCTCATATTAAGTTACTTTCTCCAAATAAAACAACTTGTTCTTGCAAATTTGACAAAAGCAAGCAATGACATAACACGTCTACTAATTAGAAAGAATCTAAAAATGGAAAAAGTTAGATATCTTTGTTTTTTGAGACCAACACAAGGAAAACGCAGATATTCGTATTCGAAATTTCATCAAAGTCTCTAACAGATAGAATGATTTTGAACTCATTCTCAGGTGGTACACTCAAATATATGTTCATCTTAGATATCGATTAATATCAATTTTAAATGATTCATGAAATAATATTAAATTTGACTTCAGATACGTCGTCGTAGATCTGATAGAAAAATTTAGTTCACAATTCTCAATTACTGATGAAGTATCGTAGACTTCAATGATGAACTAGATATAATTTTTCGCTTCTAAAGAAAGCATAACTGTTATTACAAGAAAATAAAATTTTGGCTTCATCGTAACATTCAATGTGAACAGATGTAGATGCAGTTACTGTCGAATTAGCTGGTGATTTAAAACATTTACAAAAATCATAAACTATTGATCGATATGTGTGAAGTCTTGTTACGGATGTTAATACAACTATCAGTGTTGAGATCATCAAACTTGATGTTAATAAATATCAACGACCTGAAACAGTCACAATCACTATACAAAAATGTCATTCATTAAAGTGGTATAGAAAAGTCAATAGTGAAATGAATATGTTCTAATCAAAATGAGAATGGAGATGCTAAATCTCGAAAAGTGTCGTTCTACAATATATTGATGTCAAAGGTTCTCATAAAAGAACACAAGAAAAGTATTCATTAGAACATAGAACCAACTATTTATGTATCAGTGACACCTTATCAGAATCGATAAGCTGAAACTTAATTTTTATTAAGATGGAAAATATTTTTGTAGAAGGTTCGTTTCAAATATTGAATTTCCATTGTTTCAGTTTTCGATCTCCTGACTATGCCTGAAATTTTGGCTTGCCCAATAACTAATTCCAGAACGAGGATGTCGTGGAATTGATCTGCTGTGTTTTTCATTAAGATTTTGTTGCCGTATTTCATTAATTGTTGATTCAAATCTTCTGTCTTGTAATAAGTTCATATCTATAGATTGTAGTGATTGATCCGCTGAAGAAATTCGTTGGTTCAATCTTTGTTGTTCAGGCAATGTGGTATCTGACTGACCTAAAGTTTGTAACCATGCAGCAATACACTCGATCAATTTATTGGCATACAATTTATCTCTCCATGTTTTTGGAATGTTTTCACAACCGTAATAGGCACCTGCCAATTGACCATAGATTGCTGCTACAGTATCTGTATCATCACCAAGATTCACAGCGTTGAGTGCACCTTCTGCAAAAGAATCGCTACTCCAAAATGCCCATAAAGCTGCCTCAAGTGTTTTCACGATATATCCTTTGCTTCGAATTCCATCTTTATAACCTCTTGGCTTTTTAAACGATCCATTGGCGACGCGGAGAATTTCGCTATGAAGTTTTCGAGAACCAAACCATTCTTGATAATAATGATAAAATTGGTTACTCAACAGATTTTCTTTCTGTTCACCATAAATGGCTGCAATAATCAGTGCTCCATAATAACGACACGCATCGACAGCTACATCATCACCGTGTGTGAGACGAGCACTTTCACCGCATAGTTCAACTGCAAGAGAAGGTGTTCGATAGAAGAAGAGCGGCACGGGAGCAAGACGCATTAGAGCACCATTTCCGGCGACACCTGGTCGACTACAGTATATATTAAAACCGGCTTGTTGAATGATATCAAACGATAGTTGGTCAACTTCCGATTCACTACGACAGTTTAAATTTCTCTTCAATTGATTTTGACGATTATGAAATTCTTCTAATGCATCACGAGTTGCATCACCAATGTCAAAACAATGCTTAGTAGAAGATAAATACCCATGTTTATACCACCATTTATAGCGAACCATTTGATCATAGGGATTGAAACCTCTTTGAGCGATAAGTGATGAAGCAAGACATAAAGCCATAGCAGTATCATCCGTCCATTTACCAGCTGGCAAATTCCATGTACCTCCACCTACCATATCACGGACAGGATGAGTGACCAGATATTCTCGAGGACGAAACTCTACGTTTGCTCCAAGTGCATCTCCTATTGCTAGACCGAGCAGGGATCCCTTGATTGCTTCGAGATCCTCAGAATTTTGTAATTGTATTGAAGGCCAGATGAGTTCAATATCGTCAGGACGTATTTTTTCGTGAGGAGAAGGAAATCGTAGCACCGGCATAGCAATGAATCTAGGAAAAAAAAAACATTATTAGTCAAATTTTTTATCATTAGATTCAAATAGGTCATTGATTTTTCAATGATAATTAGAAAACTAGGAAGAAAAACAGCAGTTTTCATGATTCAATTTTTAAAAAAGTAAACATTAATACTACGATGTTAATATATCGATATAAACATAAATTTGCGAGGAGACATGGTCAGGGACATTCACTATTTTTTTGTCGTCTTGTCTCTAGAATGTAAAAGGCAAAACATAGTGTTCGATTATTTTTTGTTTTTATCTTTCTCTATCCCCCACTTGTTTCGCTTCACCAACTATGCGAAGACGAAAGAGAAAATTAACGAAAAAAAAAATGAGTAAAAAATGACATACCTTAATTTAGTTGATGAAGAAAGAAAAGAAAACTTTTTTTTTGATGACTCTTTGAAGAATGAATATGATGCTATAATAGTGGGATCAGATGCTCAAATTTGAATAAAACACAAAATTGATTAAGCAAAATAATACATTTATTATAGGTTCTTGTAAAAGCAAATACCTCATCTGTACCAATATTGATTGTAATACACATATTTTTGATGAAACATAATTTATGTATTTGAGATATTCGTTATATAATTACCTTCATGTAGAAAAAAACTTATTAATTTTTAAAGTATTTTTATATTGGTAATCAAAACAACCGAAGACACTATCAAGCCCATCTATGTTCGTTTTTTGTTTTTCTATTTACTTTATCAAATGGGTTTGTCATAATATAGACTATAATTGTGGGCCATCATTTACTAATTTAGTCATTTATTTTGAATTGATTAGTCTGAGGGTGTTATTATCGTCATTGATGTCGCAAGCATAGTTTTTAAATGATTCAATACTATATGATTCATTGAAGGCGTCAGTAGGATAGAGACCTCGCCATCATCGACATCCATTATTATCAAGACTTTATTCTGTTCATCCAAGAAAAATTTCAATATCGTCTAGTTAAAGTTGGAATTTTAGTTTCGACTAAGATCATATTAGACGAAATAAAAATTTCAATTTTGATTAAGCTAATTTAAAATTTGATTAAATTTCTATTTTGACTATAACATATACATGTAATGGTGAAAACAGAAATTTTTACATGTGAATTGATATACAAATGCTTCTAGTGTTTTTTTTTTATATTATTATTTCGCATTATTTATCCGAACACCGAGTCGAACAATTTAGAATTCATTCTTCTAGATTATGGCTATATATATCTTTATAGGATCCGAACTACTTGCATCATATGAGAGCATTATACATGAATGAATATCACGAAAATATGTTTTTAATCATTAATAGTTAATTTTTTAAAGTTTGTCGTCGGGATTTTTATTCTATAAAATATCTTTTTCATACAAAAAATAGACTAAGATGTTTACCGCATGAATTAATTTGGTTACTTTTTTTGTTTACAGTGCAATATTTATACATATATATATAAACTCTATTGACGAGGAAAACTATCATGATAAAAGTGTATATTATTTGAGAAAGTTTGTCAAAAAAATTCAATTAAAAAAGTAAAGAAAATTGTATAAAAAAAGAAAATTCAATTATCATTTATGCATTAGATGCAATCTTTATTCAAGATCAAATAATAAAAACTCAGCATTAACCGATCCAATATTTTCTATAGAAAGTTCAGTATTTAGTTCTTCACAATTAATAAATGCTCCATCACCTTCTTCTAATATAACATCTTGTCCGATGCGAATTTTTGCACCATCTTTTACATCATATCCACTTCGCATAATTAAATGAATATATCCTTTTGTTCTTTTGAAAACATGTTTAAGAGAATTATTTGATTGTAAAATACTAGCAAACATAGATAATGGTGCATGAATGGCAATTGTTTTCTCATCACAATCTTTTATATCATCAATTAATAAACAAAGTTTATTTAATTTTTCTTCTTCTGACCATTTCTTTGTTGTATAAGATGGTTTAAGCTTTGATTGATTTGGTTTAACCCATATTTGAATAAAATGAACCCAAAGTGATTTATGAACATTATATTCTGAATGTTGAATACCAGTTCCAGCTGATGTGAATTGAACTTCATCACGATGAATTATTTCTGTATTTCCCATTGAATCTTTATGTTGTAATTCTCCATCAACAATATATGAAAATATTTCATATTCACTATGAGAATGTGTACCAAAACCTTTTGTTGGCTGAACTCGATCTTCATTTATTACACGTAAACAACCGAAACCTTCGTCAAAACGTGGATCATAATACGAAGCAAATGACCAAGTATGAAATGATTTTAACCAACCATGATCAGCACGACCGCGTTCATTTGAACGACGAGGAGTTATTTGTATTTTCAAAGACATTGTACAGTTTATATGAAATAAAAGTAAGATGTATAAATTAATCAATGAAAAATATCCACTTTTATAGTAAATTCTTGAACTGTATTTGTCAGAATGATGAAGCAAAAAAACTAACATTTTACAACATTACGATTGAAAACAAAGCACATGATTAATACGAGGTTGTTCTCTTTTTACATAGCAGAAAGAAAAAGAATACTTCGTAATATTTATTTTTTCTTCCTATGTTACACAGAATAACAAGCAGAATAGTTATGAGTCATTCAAGAAACAGAAACCTTGACCCTATGAATGTTATTTCACCAATCTATGGTTTGAATCTCTATTAGGGATGTCAGTTTACATTTACTTTAAATTTAATTTACGCGTAAATTAAATTATGAAAAATTTATATTTATTATAAATTAAATGATAAATGACACCCCTAATCTCTATGTACTATTAAATGTGGAATTCAGTTTATTGTAGCGATCTTTTGATATGAAACATTTTCAAGTGAAATACCGCTTCGAAAATTATGAAACAAATCTGTGACAAGTTCTTAATATTTCAAATGGTGTTGTTTCGATCATTGATGATAACCTAGTAGAAAGTTAACTTTTTGATACTATTCATTTTATTAGCACAATTAATTGCCAGGAAAATGAAGAAACAATGAAAAACAATCGGCTTAAAATAGTTTTTTTAAGAAAAGAAACCATCTTATTTTAACGAGCTTGTTTCTGATTATTGTTTATTTTGCTTTTGGCCTTAGTTTATTTTTTGACAATTTCAAAATGTGGATCTTCTCCATAGTTCTTTGTACTATCAATCCATTTTTTGCTCTTATGAGTACACTGGATTATTTTCCATTGTAATACTCAATAACTATTCTACCTATATATGTATATAAAGTGCTCCAGAAGACTGAAGGAAAAAGAACATGAACTACATATGAACAAATTAAGTGATATTGTGTATTTTCTTTAATTTATTGCATGTTTTTAAAGTATTGTTTCGCATAATTTCATGTGCATATATTATTCGAAATGAATACAATTAACTGAAACATGTACGTTTACTAGTTCTCAATATTCAAAAAAAAGGACATGGCATAGAATTCTTTGGAAAAAATTTTTGTTTATCGTTATCGGTTCTTATTGTGATTTCAACGGGACCTTTAGTGGACACCTTACAGATATCATCTTCCATATATTTGCATAGAAAAGAATTGTCATGGTGCTACGTAACATAGACGTGAAGCTCATCAAATCGAAATACGTCTTTGAAACCCTTATGATATTGAAAATATTGCTTGTAAAATCGATCTACTCAATCGTTGAAACCAGAAAAGCCTCCTTGTGTTGAATGAATTACCTACTGAGTTCTATCATGAATCAATATACTATCAAAGAAGTTTCGTAAACAGCAAGAACCTTTGATGCTAATACATTCTCATTACCAAAATATACTGCAATACCTTTTCCTTGAGACATCACTATAAGACGACCAGAGTTTTTCTGATTTGCTACAATACTAGTCTGAGAAAAACATTCGGAAAACTTCTTAATACGATGTTAATTACGTGTTTCTTGGTCAAATTCGACTAAAAGCTTTGGTTTAATAACCTTAAGTGACTCAAATATTGTCATAAACAGAATAATTGTTACTATGATGTTTATAGATATACAATTCTTTTATCTGAAATATGCTGAATAAAACTTTGATGAGTATGGAATCAAATGATGAAAGAAAAGCATGAATTGATTGAACTACAAAAAGTTATTCAGGTTTATTTTCCGGCGAACTTTAGGAACACTCTGTATATCTAGAGACTTAGACTTATGATTTATAGTCTTCTTTTTTTCATTATCGAGAAGCTAAAGTAAGAATTTTTTGTTTATACTCAATGTAACATATAAAAAGGAAATTTCATAATCATACAATTTCAAAAAATGATTGCCAGTATTTGTTTTCATGATTTCAAATCACTAATCTTTCATGCATTTTCATGAATAGAACTAATATTCGACTTTTCTGAAGGAAAATAGGTGACAGTTTTTTTGTTGAGATCTTTCAATTGTTGTTCTTTTTCTTTTTACTATCCATATGAAATTGTTTCAATTCTGTACAGATATTAATTTCCAAACGAATCCAACAAACTAGAATGTATAAATTGATCAGATAAGGTTTATAGTATAATATGATGAGCAATTTGTTTTCTTGTTACTTTTCCGTAACGTGAACCTACTGAAAGCCAACAACAACCAACAATAATGGCGACAGAACTGTAGTAGCCACTGGTACACCATGAAGAGCGGGATAGAGTACTTCCTGTCACTTCTAATGAAATCATCTGCTATTCAAATATCGATACGTAGTTCACCATCTGGAACTGAACGTTCTTTTAGTGCATTCTCGACATTGAATGAATCGATGATAAGTTTATTTATAGACATGGCACCGTCCTTGGCGAGAGTTCCTCACTTTTAAAGTGTTGATTGTTCTATTTTGACTTTTATTATGGATCTTCAAAAATTGAACAATTACCAAAGTTCTTTACTTTTTCGCTTTGGTCGAGGTGCAATGATGGCAAAAAAAACGAAATAATAGTTTTAGGAAATTTAATCGATCAATTTATTTCAATTAACTCATTTCTTTCGACTAGTGTAGATAATTTCGTAGATCTTCGATTTTTATACTCGATTCATGATGAACTTGAACAAGTATTATTTTTAAAATAATGCTGATTCCAATCTCACAACTAAACATATCGATGATATGACAACATTAAGTTATTGTCAAAATGAAAAAGAAATTTTAATCATGCTTGAGTCGATCTTTTGAATGATTGACGTAAGTAAATGATGGTAACCAAGTATGATTTATTCAATTGGCATTATGCTCGGATAATGATTATCATCTAAAAAGTAGTTTTCGAGCATATGAAAAATGAATACTATGGTGAAAAAAGAGTCTTCTCTCGTTTAGAAAATCTTAGCAGACATGAGTATATTTGGTAAAGCTAAGAAATATTATCTTCGTTTCTTTAATCATCTCTCTCTCTCCATATGATTTGGGCATCATTCGTTGTTCTCATGACTTTGACAATGGCACTGTTGAAAAAAGTGCCTATCATTCAAATCGTTTCTAAGTAATTACTTGAATCTCATTAAAAAAAAGCATCTAAGGCTGTTAAAAAAGCATTTAGTGAAATGTATTCTAATATTGATATGGATTTAAATAATATAGTTCGTAAACATGAACTATAGAGATTTATTCATAAACATTTAAATGTTATCAAAACACATTGGAGGTTTATGCAGATTATTTACCTGAGTATCATTCTGATGTCAGTCAATCACATAATAATACTCCTAATATACATCGTTGTTATGATGTATATAATGGTGTATTAAAACATCACAAGAAATCATATGCAATTAAAATAAAACATCTAGCTACGAAACATCGTCACATTATTTTAAATCTTTTTAGAACATGAATAAAATTTATAAAAACATTTAAAAAGTCTAAGAAACACTGAAGTATGATGAAAAAGTTGCTATCATCTATTGCCATTAATTTGTACACACCCAATTATACTATGAATTGAAGACGGAACGTATTCAGATATCTATCTTAATTTTATAGACAAAATTTCAATTATAATCAATAAATTACACCAGAAAACAAATGAAAGCTGAAGTAACATTAAATAAGAATAAAATAAGACAATTAGATTTTAAAACTTTAAAATGAAAATTTATGGAAGAAATCGACTACATACGTCTTAAAGCTGATTGCCATGGCTGTAGAAACTTTTTGAAGATATTTTAAGCAATTCTTCAGTGAGAAATATATTTGATGATTACATACAATTTTATTGTGAATTCATTCACGTGAAAGCGATTGTGACAGAAACTATTTTATATTATCATCATTAAAAAGAAATAAAATCTTATATATCTATTCATATATGTGACAAGCAATAAAAATTGATAGAATACCAATTAAAGAAACCAATTTCTAATTTTAATATCAATAGAGTCAAACGATAGACGATTTTCTAGAATTCCTCGCACTGAAAATTTCATAAAGTTATTCATTGACAACATCTAACTAACTAGTTCAATAAGATCAGGTCAATAGATAATTAAAACAAAATTTGTTCATTTTTATGCATAGATATTACCAGTTATTGCCCAATGGTTCTTTTTTGCTTTCTTGTTATTAATTTAAGATATACAAACTATTATAGTATTTTATATTAATTCTTACTTAAGACCTCTGAGTTTTAGATAGAGAATTTTTTCATGCAAATTTGAAGTATAAATGTTGATGTTCATATCAAAAAGCATAACTTTACCACATTGAATATTAAAGAATAACGATCAACAATGCAGAACAGAAAACAAGTGTAAGTATTTAAATATTTTTCCATAAAAATATAATAAATCAAACACTATGATCATATCTATTGCATTTCTTACATGAAAAACATGTATTTCTGTATATTTTTGCTTCTTTATACATTTTCGCTATATTTCTCGCTCTGAAATTATCATCATATATGATTTTTAGAATGTTATATATATGATTTGGACACAATTAGTAGTCTAATTTTCATATAGATCAAGACGCAATCGATTTCAACAACTTTTCACAGTTCATTTATTTTGTATAAATGATCGTATGACAGAATATGTTTACAAAAAAACCATACGAATGATAATTTTCAAACGTTGTAGTGTAGTTTACTATCACGAATAAAAATATGGATGAACAATGAAAATAATGACTATACTTCAGTTGACCAATACTAAACATTCACTAAGTATCTGAACTAGGATCCTGCGGAAACGACTTTTCCCGTATTTTCTCGTCCCGTTTCCCGCGGGAATCGGAAACGAGGATTCTGGTGGACACTCCGGGAACGGGAACACGGGGGCGGGAATCGTATTAAAAATTTCTGTTCTCGGCAAATCTTATGTCCGATTTCTGTTTACATTAAAATCTGTTAATATTACAGTATTCGATTTATAATAACTAGTTGAAATATAATTGAAAAGATAACAAATATCAGTCAACAAAATCAGACAAGTTCATTCAAACATAGATTATGAGAATCACGATATTCTTTATCACCATCGTCGTTGTCGGCATCGAAGCTGGGATCATCAAGATTACATATATCTCAAACTTGAAACTTGAATTCAATTGAAATTTCAAGTTTCAACTGAAATTTCAACTTTGAAGTTTCAAGTTTCAACTGAAATTTCAACTTTGAAGTTTCAAGTTTCAATAGGTTTATGAGTCTCGAATCAGAAATTTACTTTTAATATACGGAATCTTGTATTGTGAGAAACGTGATGTCGCTAACCGCTAGTATCAAGTAGGAGTATTGTTGATGAATGTGAATAATGAAATCGTTATAGCTATTCTCAAAGCATTACGGGAACGGGAACACGGAACCAAAAAAAGTTGTTGCCGCAGGTCTCTAATCTGGACAGACTTTGATAGTCTAAAACTATTCTTTCATATATCAGAAGATGCATATTTTTACAGATGACTCATGCCTTGATCAAAATACAGATTTTGTTTTGTGAGATTCTTGTGCTAACAAAATCCTCATGAAATAAAATGATTCTCATCGTTGTAGTAAATCTATTACAAAACTTATCTAAAAGTTTTCTAGAAAAGAAATAATTTTGTTTGAAGTATTGTACAAAGTTTTATATGAAATTTATCAAGAATGACATTTAAATCATTAAATGAGCATTCATATTTTCTAAAACATCTTTCTGACAGATGGAATTGGAATAATGTATTAATGGAAAAGTTAGATATGTTTATGAACAAGAATCATAATTTGTACTAAAGTTGGTGTCGCAATAAAATATATAGTTGAAACAAAATTATTTAGTTTTAGAGATTAGTAACCACGAGCTGAATAAAAAAGCCATGATATTCAAATTCGATGATCGAATAAATTGTCTTATTGTATGTATGCTTCGTTATTTTACAAACGAACTGTGTATTCATGAAAAATACACCGCAAGACTAGTTTATCTTTATCGTTTTCAAAATAATATCAAGGTAATATGAAACAATCACAAGAGCAAAGTATAGCGAAAGGAGTAATGAATAAAATGATATCTTATCACTAGTAGAATTTGCCCGGTGATAATAATGACTATGAAAGCTCTCCCTTTATATGTTGTATCAACACCAAAAAAAGTCTCACTATTATTCGTATGCCTGTGTGTGTGTTGTGCTTTTTGGTCAAAGTTGATTTTTTTGTTATATTCAGCATTAATCAAAGTAGTTAAAATTACTTTTTAGATTAACTTGAGTTGGCAATACAATGAACACAACTGTAAAGTATGTATATCATTATCATATGAAAACCAGTAAAAATTATCATTCGATGATCTTTCTTCGATTTAAGCAATATTTTACATGAAATGTTTTGTTATTTCTAGCGATGCCGAGCCGCTAGTGAATCATCGACAAAGGAGTCACAAACGATGGTTGATTGTTTTGATTGTTCTTCTTCTTATTTCGACCATCGTTATGGCAGTTTTATTTGGTCTTGAAAAAGGCAAAAAGAAAACAAATAGTACTGACTTCCACGTTGTCTTTTCATTTTTATAAGATATAAATTTTATTTATTTTCAGACGGCGACGATTTATGCTTAACACCTTATTGTGTCAAAGCAGGTATGTTTCTCACATTTCAATATAATAATTTCTATAAATTAATGTTTGTAGCGGATTATTTATTGGATTCCATCGATGAAACAGTTAATCCTTGTGAAGATTTTTATCATTTTGCTTGTGGAACATGGCTAAAAAATGCTCATATTCCAGAAGATAGTAAGTTAATATTTTTTTTCAAAGAGATGAAAGATAATAAAATCTTTATTGTAGGTGGTGTTCAAAATATATTCAATCTTTTGGATACACAATTGGATTTAAACATAATCGGTATGATTTTAAGCGTTTCTAATTCATTTTCAATCTTGTTTATTTAGATCTTTTATCATCAAAACCACCCAATGGAACTGTTGAACCAAACGCCATAATAAATGCACGCCGTTTATATGATTCATGTATAAATGAAGCTGGTATCGAAACTGATGGTGTTGAATCTGTTCTTTCCATTGTTAATAATGAACTTGGTGGATGGCCTATTTTACAAGGTCATACATGGAGTCCTCCAAATTTTAATTTATCAGATCTTTTACTCAAATTACGTAAATATGATGATGGAGTTATTTTTAGTGTTAATACAGCAACGAATCAAGAAAATTCATCAGTTTATGATATTGAAGTAAGAAATAATAATTTTTATTCGTTGGGTTTTTGTTAACAAAAAAAAAATATTTCAGCTTGGACAAGGTACTCTCGGTTTACAAGAAACAGAATATTACAATAATGAAACTGATATTACTCTAGCCTATCGTCAATTTATGGCTGATTTAGCGACAGCATTAACAAATGACACGTCAGCAATTATCACTGATGTAATTGCAATGTATTTACTAGAAAAAAATATTTCTCAAGTAATTTCTTTTGAGTTCTTTTTGAATGTTATATATAAAGTATTTAATTTAGTATCATTGGACTGAATCAGAACAACGCCTTCGAGATAATGAAACGATTCGAACAACTGTTGGTAATCTTGCACAATCATTCAAAGTTGATGTAAGAGTTAATCTAAAGTTATCTAAATAATTTCTAATGCATATAAATCTATAGTTTGATTTCACTAATTATCTTCGTCAATCTTATCTTTTTGGCGGTGTAAATTTAATGGACACAGATCTTGTAGCTGTTAGTGAAGTTGCTTATTTAGCAAATGTTTCCTCAATTCTTCAACACGCTCCATCTCGTGTTGTACAAAATTATTTAATTTGGCGTTTTATGATGAATCGAGCAAGCAATATGCCAAAACGAATTCGAAGTACTCGTGAACAATTTGATCGAGTCTTCAAAGGCACTACGGCAGAACCATCACGTGCAAACACTTGTGCGAATTATGTTAATGATAATATGGGTTTTGCTGTATCGAGACTTTATGTTAATAAATATTTTGATGATAATGCTCGTAATCAATCAAAAGAGCTTATTAAAAACATTCGAAGTTCAATGATGACAATGCTTCAACAAGCAACATGGATGGATAAGGAATCAAAAGAAAAAGCTGTTGATAAGGTAATAGAATTTTTTTTCAAAAATTAATAATTATCATTTTTTTCTTTGTAGGCTCAGGCAATCTATGAAAATATTGGTTATCCAGATTATGTAGCTAGTGATAATATAACACAATTGGAAAAAATGTATGCTGAAGTAAGATTATCGCATATCGACTTAATAAATTTCGAAAATGTTTATTGATATTTGAAAAATTTTAGTATATTTTTAATACATCATACATTAATAATGTTCTTCAAATGCAACGAGTTAAAACTCGAGAAACTTTTCGAACACTTCGTGAACCTGTCGATCATCGTGCATGGGGTGATCTTCCTCCAACTGTAGTCAATGCTTTCTATGAACCATCGACAAATGCTATCTGTAATATTTCATTCTCTTTTACAACATCTTAGGAAATCAGTTTGACTTTTTCTTTATTTAGCTTTTCCAGCTGCTATTCTACAAATGCCATATTTTAATAAAGATGCACCCAAGTAAATTTGAGTTTTTTTTTTTTGAAAACTATTTGTTTATTGTTATATTTTTACTTTAGGTATCTTAACTATGGTGGTATGTAATCGTTTGATTTCCATTAACTAGGAAAAAGTTCTTTGGTTTAGGTATTGGCATGGTTATCGGACATGAAATAACACATGGATTTGATGATGATGGTCGTCAATATGATAAAGATGGAAATAGAGTTCCATGGTGGTCAAATAGTACAATAGACCAATTTAATGAACGTAAACAATGCATCATTGATCAATATAGCAATTATACAGTGGAACAAATCCATAAAAATGTCTCTTTTCTTTTAGTTTTTGATTCGATAATAAATTGATATGGTTTTTTTTTAGTTGAATGGTGAACAAACACAAGGAGAAAATATTGCTGACAATGGTGGAATTAAAAGTTCATTCTTTGTAAGTTAATCATATTCATGTGTTAGAACTTTTGAAAATGTAAATCTTTATTAATAGGCTTATCAAAATTGGGTAAAGGCAAATCCAAATGTTGACAAGAGATTACCAGGCTTAAGTAAATATTCTCAAGAACAAATGTTCTTTATTGGATATGCCCATGGATGGTGCGCAAAATTTACTGATGCTTATGCTTTAAATAAAGTTTTAACAGATGTTCATTCACTTGCACAATTTAGGTATGTTATAATCTTTCTGTTTGTTATTTATTTATTCTTTTATACGATTTTTTTTGTTTTATTTTCAGAGTTCTTGGTCCACTGTCGAATTTTGCTGAATTCGATCGTGTATTCAAATGCACACCTGGTCAAGGAAGTAGCCGAGTTAACAAGTGTGCTGTTTGGTAGTGTGTGTCTGTGTTTGTGTTGACTTAAATAAATAATATTTAATCGTTTCTTTTTATTAACATTTTTCGTTCAGCATACAAATAGAGAAAAATAAAGAAAATGTTTCCTCTTAGAATCGCGAATTGTTACGCATCTGCTAACTCATCACTTAGCAGAATTTATCAAGAATCGGTGAAAAATAGAGTCAAACTGAATTATAGAAATACTCACAAAAAAAACTATTCAAAATATGTGACGTTAAAATGAATTCATACTTGGTGTCTTATGAAAATTAATCAGTAGAGTGTAGGTGTGTAAAATCATAATTCAGGCGTTTCCTATAATAGTTGCCAATAACAACATGATATTTTCAATAAAACGCAGTGATCAATGTTGTATTGAGCAGTATATGAATATTAACAATATTTAGAAACAAAAACAACTACATGATCGAGATCGAACCTCAAAAGATTGATCTTATCATTCCTAGCTAACAATAATTTGTTAACGAGGAACTGTGCAAACTCTTTCTCTTGACTTGAAGAAACATTTATTTTACTTTCTTTTTTTCTCATTTCATGTTCATACGAATCCTTTCAATGACTAAGGATTTCATCTTTAATTTCATATGCATAACTCATTTGAAGAATGACATAAATAATTAGAAAGAACATATATTTAAAAAAGACGTTGTCAATAACTTGACTTTTAGTATTTTCAATTTACTAAATGAGAAATAAAATAAAGAATAAGAAAAGAGAATAGATTGGAAATGTTATGATCATAGGCGTCTCAAGAGATGAACTCCTTGAACAAAATCTAACAAAGTCTACCAAAAATGTTTGAATTGGAGGGCTAAATCATCTAGTCCTCGCCAATCCTAGTGACTTCAAGACATATCTGGTTGTGATATTTGATGTATATCTATCTTATTTTGTTCTTCAGTATCAAATGCTAAATGAAAAATAAAAAAAAAAGAATTGCATAGATTCAAAAGAAAACATGATGCATACATTCCAATGAATTATTTATGTCTACTATAAACTCTCTTTGACAGAGTTTTTAATATATAAATACATCGTAAGTAATTCAAAATGAAAGATTTTTTCTCATACGCTTCGAAGGAAATTACATTTCTCAACGTTTACAGAAGCAGGCGCGACACTTTTTTGTAATAAAAATAAAAGTACATTGTTATGTTCTCATGAATAGCGTGCTGCAATACTTTCACTTTGTCAATTGTAACAAGTTTATGACTAGAGTTACCATGGAAATTTTTCTGTTACTCGTTTAAACACAGTTATTTCTTAAATGACTATTTACTTCTTTTTTTTGTTTTAAGAACAAAATATTAGCTTCAATAATTTCAGAAAGATAAATTTAAAAAAAAAATATGTCGAGAAGAAACTTTGAACGTAAATATGTACGTCTGTTTTATTCTTGTTTATCTCGTCTTGTTACTTAAATATTGTTTTCGTAGAATCCAGCTCAATATGATGTTGCATTCAAATTGCTTCCTATCAATCGTCGTCGATGTATAGCCTTTCTTCCCGACAAGTACCTATACAAATATATATAATAAAAATTTTTCATCTGTTTGTTATAGTCCAAATGACAAATTATGTCATTGTAATCGAACTAAACATGAACATCTCACTACGAATGATCAATGGCAACAAAATGAAAAATGGCGTGAAGATATTCATACCATTAAAGATTCCACAAAAGAACAAGGAATTTCTCTGATTAATGGAGCACCGGTAAGAAAAAGACAAGAGGTCTTTGATTGTTTAGTTTTAATGAAATAGTATGTACGATGTGATATTGAAACTGATCCGGCTATTGTCGAAACGATACTACTTGATATTTGGCGTATTCCACGTCCTGCACTTTTAATGCAAGTAACAGGCGGACATAAATATTTTAAATTACGAGGAAAAATGGAAGTTAATTTCCTTGATGATTTTGTGAAATTTGTGAGTAAATCAAGTAAGAAGAGTTTTCTTTATCTGAACACTTTGACTGTCACTAGTCTATTTAGATACTTGGTTGTTAACTAATGGAGCAAATGTTGGTATTGTACAACTCATCGGACAAGCCATTCGTAAGAGAAAAATGACCAAGCCAGATGACAGGACAATAGCCATTGGTGTATGTAATTATGGTTCAGTTAAAAATATGAAAGATTTTCAACGATCAGAACATATTGAATTACTGAATAATTCTTCATCATCTCGAAATCAAGAATCGGTGAGTATAACAATAGAAATGTTTGATATTATAATTATTATTTTATGGATAAAATATTATATTTTTATGTCTTTTTTTTAACAAAACTGATACCACGTATAGAAAGACAAACAAGTCAAGAATATCATTAGAGAAAAACTAAGAGCGCCATATAAAAGTAACAAAATAACTAGAAAGTTTATAAATCTTCAGGAGTAGAGTAAACATTGTCATAGCTCAAGACAACAAAAAATAAGTACGAACATCCAACAAGACTAGTGTAAAATGTCCACACTACCCGTCAGTTATGGTCTACAACGTCCTGCGCACCTGTCGATAGTCGCCGTCTTTTTTCGAGAAATGATCTTCAACTACGTTTAAACTAGTTCAAAACGTATCTACATTCATCATACCTAGTCTTTGTGTTGTTTATTCGATATGTAGTTGTAAGTAATCGAAAAGAGTAATTTGTCTAGTCTAAAATATCGTTAACATACTTAATGCATCCATGTTTTTATATATTTCATAAACATTTCATTTGCTTAATAACACAGAGTTTATCGAGTAACTCTCTGGAGAGTACAGATTTGTGCTTTTTTATGCTCAAATTACAAATTTATATTGAAGCACAAGCACAAAGACGCACGTGAAAATATCTAGATTTATGATTACTTCTCAATAGAAATTGCCTAATAATGTTCTTGAAAATCTATTCGACTGTAAAATAAATTAGAAGTAATTTAGTTTAAAAATAGTTTAGATTGCGAGTATTATAAATTGCAATAAAATTCACGCATGATGTAATAAAAATTATTTTTTTTTAATCTTGAATTATGATAAGTTTATTTTTGGTTTTAACTTTTTTTTATATGATCGAATTCGACTTTCATCTTTATACTTCCATGATTTAGACTAGTCCGAACTCGATTAGTGCATAAAACTACAATTCGTCCTATGTAGCATCGTGGACGTTTTTGTCTTTTATTTAAAATCGCTTGTGGCCGAGCACCAGCGCGTTATCGCATGACTAGTATTATTTTTAAAACGATTAAGCATAGCAAACAGACGAAGGCCCGTCCGTAAAATAGTCAGAATCTGAGATGTGAATTACCAACGATTTCAGACTGGTCATGTACTAGGAGATTTAAAAAAAGGACTACAAAATGTGTTCGCCATAACAAGGAGAACGCCTAGCCTTCTTATCCATCCTTTGCTCGTTTGAGAGACTCAAAATTTAAACATGATTTCCAGCGGAAGATATTGAGATCGCAAGGTCAAACTATGATCTCTTTCTTACTTTCAATACGTCAGATAAAGCTAAAAAATATTTTACAGATTCTAAACATTGTTTGGATAGCCTACATTTTCTTTTAGTTTATTTTTATTTTCTTCTGTTTAAATACATACGGCCAAATCCTGAGAGCATATTCAAAAATACATGTGCTTTTTTTAACTGAAGCTTTTATGTAAATCCGGGCAAAAACTAGTGGTAGAGCATATTTTGAAATAAATAAAAGTAAGCATCTGAAACGCTTTGTAAATATAGAGAAAAGAAAGGATTAGATTAATCGTATATACTGTGCTTGAGAAACGAGAACAATTCTCATGTTTTTGTCAAAAAAGCATGTTTTTAAAAACGCTAAAATAATATGTGAAACATAATGTTTTTCAGGAAAAATATTTCAGCTCTTCGGCTTGTATAGTTATATATTAATTCTGAAAATATGTTCAGCAGAGAGAAAATATTTTAAAGAATATAAAGAACATAAAAGAAATTAAAAGTCTAAATATTTTCGAACAGTCAAGAAGTTTCGTTTAATGTTCAAATCTCTAAAAAAAAGGTACACATTATTTTCATATTGTCTATATTTGAAGTATTCTTTGTCTAATAGAAAAGTGTTACTCAACTACGAACTGGTCAGCAAAGCCTAGAAATGAATCATACACATTTTATATTACTTGACGATGGAACGCTTCAATCTTACAATATAGGTGATTATCGTACTCGACTTGCAAAAACTATTGCTAATGGACGTGCAAAACAAACTTTATCAAGTATATACAGTTTCTTCAAATGATCATTGAATTAGTTTTAATTTCTATTTTTAGTACCCATTGTATCAGTTTTATTCGAAGGGGGCGAAGATTCTTTAAGATCAATCTACAATGATCTTCGTAGTAATATTCCTGTCATTATTATTAATGTGAATTATTTTAATTGAATGTACTGATAAACTGAATCTATTATTTGATCATTTAGAATACTGGTCGTATCGCTGATTATCTTGTTCAATGGTTATTACGAACACAAGAAATGGATCTTGACATTAATTGGACAACACCAGTGAATATTAATGACGAAAATGGCACGCGTAAAACTTTAAGCGAGACTTTCAAAGGAAGAGAATCGATTAGTTTACATTCTGTTAATCTTCAACCTACAGAAGATGATGACTCTAATCGACTCAGTCGAAATCGGTATGTAGAATATGTATTATTCATTTTATAATTCAGTTTTTTAGATTACGTATAAAATTTGATAAATATTTTAATTCTATGTATGATGAATTGATTCAAGCCATAAATGGAATTGATAGTGATCATGCAACAAAAATTGTTAAATCAGATAATTTGAAAAAGGTCAGTGATGAGATTATTCTTATGGTTCTTTATTGCTTACAACCAACGGTTCGTTCAAAAATTAGTATATTCAATTTCACTAAGGATGAAAAATTATCAGAAATAATTCTTCGAAGTATTTGTAAATGTAAGAGTTTTTTTTAATCTTATATCAAATTTATCTTATATAAAATAAGTTACGGTATTTTTTTCTTCTCCAGCTGTAGAAAATAAAATCCAACCGAAGAAATTGAATTCGAATAAACGTGATGATATGGTATCAAAATTTGATTATTTGCTTGAATTGGCCCTTGATTGGGATTGTATTAATACAGCAAAAGAATGGATTGTTCAAGATTCTCTTGATAATATTTACAATAGAGAATCAATTTTTTGTCGAGCATTAACAAAGCAACGACATAAATTTGTTCATTATTTTATTCAACTTGGACTTGAAATAGATGAAATATTTTTTCATCCAAAACTTAATCCATTTGCTGCAAGAAATATGAATAAAGAAAATAAACGTTATAGCAAATTTTTAAAAATTTTATATACTGAAGAAGCTATTGTATGAATATATTGTGGTCCAAATTAAAATTCAGTCAGATTTAACATTTGCCCAGTTGAAATTAAGATTAAAACTTTGGCTAGATAAAATTGAACTTTTTTTACATGAACAGAAAAATGTAAAACAAGGCAAACAATATTAAAGTAGCAACAATTTTTTTTTTATTGTACAAAATTTATTAGTCAATATTAAATAAGAGTATGAGTGGAACACAGAAGTTGCTCTCGTCTGCATCCATACATTTAATTATCAAGATTTTTATCTTTTTCTGTTCATCAAAAAAATTTTAAAATCGTCTAGTCAAAATTGAAATTTTAAATTTAACGAACTTAGGGATCTCTTCAGATGTCTTTTTCCGATTTCAATGATTTTCTACCTATAGATATTGAAAAATGTTCTAATAAAAATTGTAAAAGGATTTGAATTCCTATTGAGATTTGACTCAAGTATTGAATGCATTTTACGGCTATGTTCTAGAGAACTCAGATTTGCTGGAGATTCGTATTTTAAAAATTTGATCAGAAAGTTTGCCTATCTAGAGAACTCAACAAGAATAGCTCCTGTTGGAAAATTCAGACATTTTGAACAAAGTCTCTATGAGATATAAGACTTTCAGGATATAGACCCTGTTCTAAAGGTAGTGTATACAACATGTGTTTTTGAAAGCTTCATATCTTGAAGACACTATGCTTAGATTTTCTAACTATTTTTTTTATGAAATTCAGTCTAGTTACGTTCTTTATACGCCCAAATTTTCAAGTTAAAATTCTAAAATACGAGTTTTCAGAAAATCTGAGATCTCTAGAAAATCGACGTAAAATAACTTCGATACTTTAGTCACATCTCAATAGGAACCTAAATTCTTATAAGGTTTTTTTAGAACAATATGTAGCATCTACAGGTAGAGACCCCTAAAGCCAGAAGAGGGCATCTAAAGAGATTATCTTGTGAGATTATATTTGACGAAATAAAAATTTTAATTTTTACTACGGAAATTTTAAAATGTGTGTTATTAGAATCGAGACGATTGGTTACTTCGAGATGTCGTGAAAACTACCAACGATCAACATCGAAAAGTGATTTGTTCAACAGATGATCTCAATCGGTTATTTCGAGTTCTTGTCGGTGGCTATATGAAACCACTTTATTATGATTCACAAATAGAAGAACAAGAAAATCGTATGAGAGTTAAACATTTTACAAATATTATTTTTCCAATGGAAGATATTGAACAAGGACAATTGATTGCTAGTGATACTGTTTATAAACAGTTAGCAAAAGATTATATTATTCGTGATCTTTTTCTTTGGTCTATTGTTATGAATTATATGGATCTTGCTAAAGTATTTCTTGCTCATATGAAAGATCGTATTTGTGGTGCTTTAATAGCTACAGAAATTCTTTCGCATTTACGTGATCATTCTTCTGATGCTGTTCATGGAGATAAAAAGACGAATCTTACTTATTGGATTAATTATTTTGAACAATACGCTATTAATTGTATGGATTTATGTTTTAAAAATGATCCAAATATGGCTCGAATATTAGCTATACAACGCGTTGAAATGTTTGGTGATGTAACTTGTCTACAGGTTAGATAGAATTTAAAATCTACTATTTAGAATTTCGTATTTTTATGTAGGTGTGTGATGATGCTAACTCCAAAAGATTTGCTTCACATCCTTGTTGTCGGCAAGCAGAGAATAGTATTTGGTATGATAAGTTACATTCCGATCAATTTCATTTACGATATTATATTGGACAATTGATTGGTTTGTGGACTTTAGGCTTACTTGCACCATTTACTGTGCGTTTTCAAACAGTAGATCAAGTAAGAGAATAATTCATATATCATTTCGCATGATATATTTTATTTTTGTAAATAGAATCCACTTCCGACTGAACCAATGTAAGTAAACTGACAATCTTGTCTATTAATTGTTCATTATCTTATTTAGTTTACAACCATATGGTATTAATTATTGTGATCCATATGCTATTAGTCATTTTGATGAACCTATTAAAAAGAAACTATATCAAATATGGCAATTTCATCAATCTTTACATATTAAATTTACCTATCATCATGTATGATTTATTTAATTGATTTTGTTAATTAAAAAATATGTATTTAAATTTTCAGATTCAATATATAACATTTTTGTTTTTGTTCAGTTATGTCCTATTATTTCATTTTGATCCGATTAAAGCCGACCGTCCATCAATCGATGCAGTAGAAATTCTTGTTATCATAATTGCTTCATGTATGTTTATAGAAGAACTGCGAATTGTAAGTAGAAACCAGCGTTATTTTGTTTCGTAAGACTTATTATTGTTTGTTAAGTTTTTTAATCAAGATAGTCTTTCATTTCTTGGCAAATGTCATAACTATTTTCGATATTTTCTCAAACAAATATGCATGATCTCATTTGTTTTATTCTATATTGGTTTAATATTACGATGTCAAGCTGTTGGAGATTCTGCAACGTTACAAGCAGCTAGGTAACTTATTTTCAAGATGATAAGCTAATAGAAATTTTTAAATAGAATTATTATGGGATACGATTTATGGCTTTGGTGGATGGGATCTCTTTCATTTATTATTGTTAATCCATTTCTTGGACCACATTTAGTTTCGATTGGAAAGATGGTAAAAAATCAATAAAAGAAATATTTTGAAGATAATTTTTGTATTCTAGTTGAAAAATTTAGCATTTTTTGCTATTTTAATTGCTATTGTTATGACTGCTTATGGTGTAGCTTCACGATCGATGGCTTTTTATGGTGCATTTGAATTTAGTATTCGTAATGTACTTCGTTATGTTCTATATCCTGTTTATTATTTACTCTATACAAATGTATCTGGTGAATTAAATGGATTAGACGGTATGAAGGATATAAATAATTTATGAACTAATAATCGAATAATTTTCTTTTAAAGAATCGAAACATGACAGTCCAAGTATTGCTACGCATATTTTACTTGCTTTTCATATGCTTTTAATTAATATTCTTCTTGTCAATTTGCTTATTGCTATGTTTAAGTAAGTTGTTGGCTTATTTTAATAAATTTTATGAATTATTTTTTTTTCTTTTTCGTAGTAAGAGCTTTCAAGATGTACAATCAATTCAATCGGATATTTGGAATTATCAACAATATATGGTTGTTCGTGAATATTATGATCGAGCACCATTATTTATTCCGTTTAGTACTATATTTGATATTATAACTTTGATGAAAACATTTTATCAATGGTATCTTCGAGTGCGTTATAATTATGCTAATCCATCAGAACGAGTGTTTAGTAAGTTTTCATAGAAAATGTTATATGTTTTATTGTTTTGTTTTTTTTTTGTGTTATTTTAGAAGTAATTGCTGTTCAACCGGAACTTGAACTTGCTTGGCAAGAATTTGAGAGTGCATCAACTTATGCTTATGCGCAAAATGAAGCATTAGCCAAAATTAAAAGGTCAACAGAAATGAAAATCAAGGTTTTTTGTGTGATATCATTTTTATTTTTTTCTAGAATAACTATAGAGAATGCAACATGTTCACAAGAATCGAATACAAGTGGAATAAGATCTATGGACGATGTTGAATCATTTGATAGAAATATTACTAAAAAAGAGACAGATGCAATTATTCAGCTACGCAATGAATTCAAAGCAGCAATTAAAGATCTTCGAAATGATGTAAGCAGGAAAAAACTGATTATTAATCTGTTGTGAAAAATTGTTTTTATGAATGTTTAGATACGTCTTATCACAAAGCAAAAGTGATTTGGTCATCATGCAATTGACTCCGGTTGTTTTCGAAGAAAATTAAATAAATAAGGACTAAAAAAATATATAGCTCAGATGCTTCTAAAATTATACAAGAGACGTTTCTCGAAAATAATAATGAATGCTATAAAGAGAGGCGCAAAAAACTTCAACACATTACATGTTGAAAAATTTATATTATCTATTTATTGCCTTTTATTCTAATAACTATTACATATAATCGAGGTGAAGTATCTAATTAGTGTAATAGAAGTCGTACTCTCTAAATCTCAAGTTATTGGTATCATTTTGTTTTAGCCATTTTCAATCCATGATGCAGGAACAATGGCTACAAAAATTCTGTCGGCAAATGTCTCTTCACCATTTTCAAAAACTAACGCAACCCTAGTTCCATTGCCAACGATTGCTATATCCGAATAGGCACTAAGTCCAGAATATAATATACGAGAAACTGACCATGAATGAGCTTCATCGTACGATAGTCGAAGAGCTAAATTAGAACGTATTGTCGTATTAACGGGCCCATTAAAACGAATACGACTGGAATTAGTAGACATTCGTTCAATCGAACAAACTACCCTAGTCCATGCTTTGGTAACAGGATCTATTAAAGATGAATTAATTCCAAATTCAGTAAACTGGATCGCACCATTTGTAGTCCGTGCAAAGTAACGATGTCCAGGAATTGGAGAAAAGTTTCGTCTATTTAAATAAATATGCGAAGCGCCCGCATCCAAATTGATTGTTTGCACCAATGGTGATTCACGCGTATACTGATGTGCTATTCCTGTAAAACTACATTTGACGATTCTGATTTTTCTCAGGCATTTCGCTTTTCAAAATACATGCATAACAACTAGGACATGAGCCATTTCCATTAAGATGGCTTCATCCATTAGTGCACACAAATGGCATCTACAAAGGCAGATAATTGTAAGCGAAAATATGGAGCGTTTATTGTATTTTCTATACCAACAATGTTCCAGCATCAGAACAATTTCCTTTTTCACATAATGAGCCGATGATCTAGAATAAAAGTCATGGATCAGTATATCAATCATCAAAATGTAGTACCTCACTCCCATGACCAACAGCAGGTTTGATCGATTTACTAAAAGGTAGAGGAGGAAGCACATCTAAAGACATTGGATCTGACCATGTTATTCTCTATAAGAGAATAAATACAGCACAAAATTACTCTATTGTTTGCCAAAACACATACTTCATTACGTGATATAAACACAAGAACCAATGAAAGTGCCTGTAACATCAAGTAAACTGTGTTCGATGTACTGCCACAAACTACAGTGTAATACTCGATGTTTCCTGTGTAAACTGTTTGTGTGGCGAGCCACGTAGATCCGCTATCTTCTGAACAACGCATTTCTAAACCACCATCTTCATTGGGAAGATTATTTCTCTCTACTCTATTTTCCAAAAGCGGTGCATAACTGGTTACAAATCGATCTTCGACAAATATCATCAAATGTGTTCGCTCTTGGTTAATAGTCACAATGGCTGGCTGTTGGATTATTTTTATTCGAAAAGTATAGGTAGCATTACAGAGTACTTACTTGACGATAACATGGATATTTACCGTCATGTGGTTTGAAGACTATGAAACTGTGGGTCTACTGCTCTTGAAACGATGATTACCATGGATATCAAAACAAATAGCATCTTCATTTCTCTTAAGAAAATGACCTATACTTTAAACATATATGTATATAATGTCATCTCATCTCATTGTAGTTGCATTCTGCTCTTTGAAAGGCTAAATGACTACACTCGTCGAAGTTATTTTCATTTTATCAACGCGCACCAAAATTCTCACCTGAATAAAAAAAAGATAAACTTAATTTATATTGAAAGAAAAAGCAAAAAAAAGCAAACATATTTGAGTGACATCAAAGTGGTGGTATAGACGTCGTATAATTCTATTGATAAATAGGTTTGAAAAATAGATAAGTAAGATGCATAGTTGAACAAAAACAACCATAAGTTTTATCTAATTCACAATCAACATATATAGATTATATAATAAATACGTTGTACAAATGTTCAGAAATAATCAATTAAAAACGCTCCCAATTATTCAACTTAAATTTTAGTCTATTTGCGTAAAAATTCACTGAATAGATTTATATATGTTAAACAGTCATATGTCAGAAATGGTTGTTAATATAGTTTCGATTAAAGATACAAATCTAGATTAATTTTTATTTATATAATAGCAATCTGTATTGATTTGCTCGAATGTACAATGATTTTTGCTGAGTTTATAGATTATTCATATCTTAAAATTTTTTTCTTGGTAGAAATTATTATTTAGCCGACTGTACAATCGATATAGTCATGTTGGGTAATTGATTTCGTCTAGATTAAATTAATTACAATTTTTTTTATTCAGTTTGCACTAATAATGTAGTTTTGTCTTGATTTAATCGTATTAAATTTCTAATAGTTACTTTCTGCCCGCGAGACAAAAGACAGACAGCTGGTATAGCAACAGCACCTGATTTGGGCAATTGTTTCGTTGGTGTCCGAACACCGTCAACGATAAATGTGAATTTGCCAATTTCATTTTTCGGAAGATCAAGTTCTAAACCAATCACGCCACTATTTCCAGTAAATTTCGGTAGATTACCATGAACAGATTCTGTATTAGTAACAATATCACCAGTTGATGGATCATACGACCATGCGCTCCTAGAGGAACCTAAATAACCAAAAAATCCCCAGTCAGGACCAATATTCCAATCTAACAAGAAACCAACTCCAATTTGATGGGTTCCCATCCATTCCACGTCAAACTCCAAAGACCATTTTCCTGAATGTAGTTTTGCTTTCGTCTCAATTGGAATCCAGATTGCTTGAGATGCTTCTATCCATTCCACAGTACAATCATTGTTGCTAAATCTTAGGGATGAATTCGCGTGTCGATTTGAATTAAAACGAAATTCACCAACGTTATTCATTTCTTCTGATAAAAAGGTTGAAGAATCCAAAAGATATGGTTCTTCCGAGGTTTTTGCACAGTTTGATTCTTTTGAACATTGATCATTGGCCATCGTTAAAATGAACCCAAGGACAAATATAAAAAGCTGCGACACAAAACAATAGTACAATAAGATCATATTTAATTTGATCTGTTCTAGCAAAAGAAAGGTAGTACTTTCTAATTTTTTGAATAACGAAGTCTAATTTCCGAGAGATTTAGAAGATCTTAGCATATTCATGTTTTTATGTTCGAAATTAACATACCTGTTTATTTTTTGTTGTCGATGTTAAAAAAGACTTGTCAACTAAATTGGCTGATATTCTTCTAATAATTGAAATCATAAAGGAGCCTTCTCTACAAACTTTTAACTATAACCATTCTAGACTATGCCATGTTTACAGAATAGCTAGAGTATCGGTGAAGAGATAAGGATTGGCTAAGCACAGCAACAATAAGCACACATCAAAGTTAGAAATTAAATTTTATGCCTCTCCTTGTTTAAATTAACTGTACTCTTTCTTATTCTATCATTGCCTTTCATCAGCTACAATTTGACTATCTCATTCTAAGAAACTTTTTGCTAAATTTATCGCATTTTGTCTGAAAATTACATAACGTCACTTATGGCTGTCGTGAAGAATTAGCGCCTTAGGTTTATGTAATACAAAAGATATTTTTATACAATATAAACTGCCGAAATAATTGATTCTCTTTCTTCGCAGCATATATAGTGGTGACGACTTTATAACTAACCAAAGTGACACGTCACCTACTGTAAATAGTACACATGTTGTCATTCGTATATACGTTGACTGATGACGAATGAAAAATAGAAAGAAAATTGAAATCAATATAGAGGTTGCTTGAAGAATAGATAGCGTTCCTCACCAATAGCAAAGGGAATTACCAGTGCAACAATAATCTTATTCGTACGATTTATTAATTTTTCCACTTAAACAACGTTAGATAAGTACGTGTGACAACATTATTTGCAAAGAAACTATTCGAATCATAAAGATTGTGAAGGGTTTTCCATATATTATATCATAAATGGATATATTCACCATCACTCTCAACTTTATTGTGTTTATACATTATGGCAAAACTGATAAACTGTATGATACTCCTAAAATCTTACCTAGTTCGCCTTCAAAATGACTAGAACTTCAAAAAATCTTGTCTCTCAATATTAACAGATCATATTTATGAATACTACAATAGAAGTACTTTTGAGTAGCACACAAAGCTTTACTATTCTGCAACATAAATGATAATACATGGAGGAATTTTTTTCTTATAGAAAATGCGTTATTGATTTATCATTAAAATGAATTTATTCTTCTATAAACTAACAGCATTAGCTCAAAAAACGAATGGATTTTTTAAAATTATCTAATACTTGATGAAATTCATCTCCATATATGTCTAGAAGCTCGAAAAGGATTATTCTATCCAACAATTTTGATTTCAATACTAGCTTCAATATATGATTAATTGACAAAGAAACTTGGCTTATGAATCAAAGTCTCTAAATCTGCATCTTCTATCGATAAAATAAATTATTACGTGTTCCGATGTTCTTGGAACAAGTGTTTCAATTTTTGTTAATTCTAGCTTTTCTTTGCTGCTTATGCATACTATATCATGAACATTTGTGCATGTGTACGAATCGTTAAATCGTTGTGTACAAACCTGTTTTTTCATAAATACTAATGACTGAAAGTCACTTATTGGCATGATCAGTATTTGATTTCAAATCCACGATTGAGAACACTGATACTACTTGATAGTTTACCGTACCAAGTTCATCCAGATGTCTAAAAAGAATCGAAGGATTTCAAATCTTGAGTAATTCCACAAAAATTTATATCGATAATCCAACCACTCGATGTTTGCTATAATCGTCAACATTAAAAAAATTATGCGACATATATATGATCAGGTATGGCTACATGAAACAGACAAAGATTTATCCAAACGTAATAATTTGATCATGTGACAATCATTAGTAGATTCTCATATGTGTTCAAAAGCTTTGCAACCAACGACAAAATATATTTGGTTCCAAATCATAGTTAAGGTCTCATTGAGAATAGGAAAAATACTTGTTTCACATTTCAAGCAGATTAATGTCATGAAAAAAGTTTAATTGGTGGAGCGATGATTAGGTGAGCCTGATGTCAACAAAAACTATGCTTCACTCATTTTTTCAAACTTTCATTTCATTAGACGGATTCAACATTTTCTAGATCGTTTATTGTGTTTTTTTTTCGTTCGCTATATATAACTGTTTTGTTTTCTCATTAACTACAAGAGACCAGCAATCATCTGTTTTTCGACAATAAGTAACTATGCATGATATGATTTTTGAAATAAATCAGTCCGTGAAAATGTTCTTTTACTCAGATATTTGAAAAAAATTTCATAGAAAATAAAGTGACGTCATTCTTAGAGCAAACTATTAAGCTTGTTTCTCTGCGACGAAATGACAGTGTGGCGAATCATTTTGTAGTTTCTTTTTATATTGTGAGTCTTACCTATGAGCAAAATATGAGCTCAAACGATATATTTCAGTTGATGAGATTCTCTGATGTGGCAGCAACCGATACCGCGATCGGAGTGAGTCGAAGACCAGTACTTGACCAGAGCTGACGTCATGAAGAGACACCGCGGACCGAACAAAGACGGAGAGTGAATGTAAAAGCGGGACTCAAACTGACAATGATATCGGATTCGAATTTGAGATAGACACACCGATTGAGAACGGTACCAGCACTGAAAATAAAGTCAAAATGGATACTGCAGTCAATGCGCGAACTACGGACCTAAACTAAGGCGGTCAACAACTTCAATACTCCAAATATAACGCGAACTGATACCCGAACTAGGACATGCAAAAAATGTGGATCGAACTAAATATGGGATGTGTAAATATAGTCTTAGAAACAATGGTACACACTTTATTACTGCAACGATATCTGTATTATTTAAAAAACTTGATGCTACACATACATATATATATTTCACGCCTCATCATCCAATGACTAATGGACAAGTTGAAAGACTTAACACGACGGTTGATACTAAAATAGCAGCATTATCAAATGGAAAACGCACAAATTGATATGAACAATTATGGTTCTTCTCATTCAACTAAAATATCAGTATGCACACAAGAACTGAACAAACTCTATTTGAAGACAAATATATAGTTGCTCCTCAATAGAGTATCCTTGAATCAACAACAACCACTAGTTATACTTTCACAATACTCGAAACATAATTTAAAATCAAGTCAATGTTTATCAACATTAGGCAAACAAGCAAAAGTCAACATCCTGGAGCAGCAGAAAAAAATAAAGAACGTTACGATTGACAGCGTGGAAATTCAATTTACAAAATCGGCGATATCGTACTAATTAAAACATTAATGACACGCAATAAATTCGGCACAAAATATGAGAAGACTGTTTCAAATTGCACGACAACTTGGGACAAATAGATTATTGTAAAACATGTAAAGAAACCAGCACTAATAAGACAAGCAACTAGTGACATCATGGTGTTGATAATTCGACAATAAAATGTAAAATGAAATGAATGAGTGAAGAGGAAGGAAAATCCCTATTTTTTACTAATAATCCGATGTATTTGTCTATTTCTTACAAAAGGAAACAGTAATTCTACACATTGTTCATAAAATTAATTGCGGAACAATCTATTTTCTGGAATAATTATTCTTAATTAACGATATGTTCCTCCTTCTTCTTAATGGAATCTCATCATTACAATGTCACAGGCAGAAGACAGAACTCCGATCAATTTATTAATTAGATACTTCATATTAGAAACTGATAAATAAAAAGATAAGATTACTTGTTCTCATGATAAAAATACGATGCTATTTAATGGTCATTTGAAAACGAAATAATAAAGGATTTTAACTTTTGGCTTACTGTAATGGATACCAAATACGAAAAGAAGATTCTACTAGTTGATTCCTGGATATACATATATATATATATATAAATATGAGTGAAGAGTATAGCTATTATGCCATTCGAGCAAAACAATCGATAAAAATAAATTTTATCGTAAGAGACAACAAAGTGTTGCCTCTAATATGATCATATCGATTGTGCATGAAAATAATATTTTCCTAATACTGTCCTGTGTCGGAGTTCACATCTGTCTGCTCTGCTTATATATCAATTAGCCTTACTGTGTGAATGCGTCAAGAAAATGTCACTCTAGACTTTTCTAGTATTACTAAATTTTCTCTTACATGGTGAAAAATTTTTGCTTCATATTTTTGATATCAATGTACTATATCAATTGAGAAAACGATAAAATTTTTGTAACTGAGTCTTCAGTTTTCATCGAGTTGTATTAATAACAAAGTTTAAAAAGTCACTCTACATTCAACATGAAAGTTACTTTTCTTATTTCTATAAAACTTTTATATTCACGAAGTTTATGAAACAGCACTTTTTTACATCTGAAATTATTTTCTCTTTAGTTCTCTTTGATGTTCAATTAAGTTAATTAAAACGAAGTTTCTTCAATTGGAATGCTATCGATTTTAACGTCGATCTAGATAAAAATGACAAATATCTCCACGTCTATTATTTATAGTTTTTCATTTGTAAAAGTTTGTCTAAAGCTAAAACCAAAAACATATTCTGAAAGGTCTAGGAAAGTTTTACAATTCTAGCCAGAAAAAATTTTAAAAATTACAATTCAATAAAACAGCTATTAGTTGGCTTTCGTCGGATAGCTCCAGAAGCTATGTACTTGACTTGCCGCTCTGCTTTCTCAAAAACTAAAGGAGATGGAAACTTGATTATTTTAGAATTGAATCATCCTCTTCAGTTCAGTAAAACACAAAAAGTTTATTCAAATCAGTTGAGTAGAACTCAGCTTAATGGACTTTTTATTTTCGGAATACAATGGTGCAATGGCTGTGTTCTTCATTCATATATACATGTATATGTTCTTTTTATTATAGATGTCTAATTCTCATTGATATCGAAATCATTCTTCAACATTATATAAGCATCATTCTGTAAG